CCTGCTCCGCGCTGCCAGCTTCAGGGGTGGAGACACATTTGTCGCTAGTGTGCTGCGGGTTGTGGTACAGTCAATCGCTTGGTACTGCTCCAGTGGCTGTCGATGTATGGTGTGGGTGGTGTTCAGGGGGGTCGGTTGTTGAGCAGTGCAGTACCTAACACCGGCAAAGTAGATAGGGTTAGTTCAGGCTGGACAGGCAGGGAGTGGCAGTGTCGGACTGCTAGCGGAGAAAAGGCCGTTACAGTACGGAGTAGTTGGTCTTGGAGTCGGACCTCGTCCATGCCATACAGACTCACTTTTACTAATCTGCCGTTCCCCGAAGCAAACCATGGCTAATGTATTTTACCTACTACTTGCTTCAGCCGTAGGTAGTAGGTAGGTAAATAGGTACCACAAGGCACTATGAGACTCGCTTCGCCCGCCCACTCACCGAAAGCATGGACCATATCCTTCTCCTTGTCTTCGGTGTGTCGTGATGGAGATATGTTTTTGAAGAAAGCGCTTACTGCTGAAAATGCACGCCTTTCCTTTATCGATAAGAGACGAGATACCGAACATTCTTCACCTTTACTCTTGGCAACTTTTGATAATGCCTGACCACAACCAAGCCTTCCCAAGTCCCTAGGCGCTCTAGACAGCACCCGTATAGGCCAGAGATCCTTCATCTCACAATATGCAGGGCGTTCGTCAACAACATTCATTGGACGATCATGGATCGAGATAACAACATGCCCCCTTTTCCCCCTTCTACAATACATTCGGAGAACCGCCAAAGACGAGAGCGCGCCGATGACCAACAAGCATGGGCCATCCTCTTGCTACTCTCGAGGAACTCCCTTGCTGCCTGAAGCTGCTTGTGCCACAGCGTCGACTACCACCTTCAATGCTGAAACACGGCCGGTTCCTCCTCTGTCTAGGTCCACCACGCATCTTTCAGATTGGATACGGGTATCTTCACTGTCGGACTACCGCCCGACAAGACCGAGGGGATAGGCCGCGGCTAATTATACGGTTGCTTGCGGGAAATGGCAATGGTCAGAATCATTTTCGTCAGTAGCATGTCACGTACGGGATGGGGTTTGGCTCTTCGGCCCTCTGGCTCTCTAAGACCGCTAGTATAAAACAAACACCGATTCTCGGGCTTTCGGTGGTTCAGTCGATCCTGAAGGCGTTTGCTTCGGCAACCTAGGGCTAGCAACCATGAAAGTGGAAAAGAAAGGAAGGACTGGGGAGGGAGGAAGAAACGAAGAGGGGGGAAACAGGAGTCTGCTTGTCGCTCATCGCCTGCCGGAGGTGGTCGCATCACGAAGAGCGGCTGAATGCGGCGACCTGCCTGCCCAGCACAAAAGGGCATCGGCGGGCTCCGGCGGCTCCACTCCACGCCAGTAAGACCATCTTACCCCATGCCTGCCGGTCCCCTGTTAAGCAATCGGGTCAGTTCGGCCAGCGCCTTTGCCATTGGAACGTTCCCTCCCCGTCGGAAGCAAACATGGCGACTCAAGACACGACCACGCTATCTCTATCTCCGGGTCCCGTGTCGGTGGGTGACGTCCAAGGAAGCTAAACTGATGAGTGGGAAAACCTCACTCGTCTCCCAGGGAGCCTCTGATATATATAATCACTTCGCCTCCCCTCCTCGAATCCATCCCTTCTCCAAACGCTTGCTCCTCGTCTCTTGTCTCATTGTCCGACCACCGCAACTCCTCTTTCTTCATCGATACCCAAGAGAGTCCTCGCTGCGGGTCTTATCTTTCTTTTGTTGCTCATCGCATCCTTCAGCCGTGACAACGTCCATCTCTCTCACTCGTGACACCCTCCCATCCCCCCTTCTTTTATTCCGTCTCACGCGGAACAACCCTCATCGCAAACTCGCAATGTCGTACCTCGCTTCCGCCCGCTACGGCAAGGACAATGTCCGCGTCTACAAGGTCGAGCGCAACGGCGCCACTCAGACCGTCACCGAAATGACCGTCTGCTGCCTTCTGGAGGGCGACATCGACGTCTCCTTCACGGCCGCCGATAACAGCGTCGTTGTCGCCACTGACTCCATCAAGAACACCATTTACATCAAGGCCAAGGAGAACCCTGTCAACCCGCCCGAGCTCTTCGCCTCCATCCTCGGCACTCACTTCCTCGACACTTACGCCCACATCCACACCGCCAACGTCAAGGTTGTCCAGCACCGCTGGACCCGCATGACAGTTGACGGACGGCCGCACCCCCACTCGTTCTACCGCGACGGCGAGGAGACCCGCAACGTTGAGGCCCGCATCTCACGCCGCGACGGCATCGCCCTCACCAGCGCCATCCAGAAGCTCACTGTACTCAAGTCCACCGGTTCTGCTTTCCACAGCTTCGTCCGCGACGAGTACACCACCCTCCCCGAGACCTGGGACCGCATCCTCTCCACCGACGTCGACGCCGGCTGGACCTGGGCGTTCCCGGACCTCGCCGCTGTCCGCGCCGCCATCCCCAAGTTCGACCCCGCTTGGCAGGCTGCCCGCGACATCACCATGAAGACCTTTGCCGAGGACGAGAGCGCCAGCGTCCAGAACACCATGTACAAGATGTGCGAGCAGATCCTCGCCGCTGTCCCCGAGACCCTGACCGTCACCTACTCTCTGCCCAACAAGCACTACTTTGAGATTGACCTGAGCTGGCACAAGGGGCTGCAGAACACCGGCAAGGACGCAGAGGTCTACGCTCCGCAGTCCGGGCCCAACGGTCTCATCAAATGCGAGGTCGCCCGCAAGCTCGGGTCATCCAAGCTGTGAAACGCTTGGACAGTGTAGGAGAGCGCAGGAGGCGAGTGGGAGGTTGACAGAGAAAGCAAGAGCCCGGGAGAGGAAGGCATCAATAGAATCAGCATCTGCATTTTTCCTGGCCGTCTATGCCCTGGCTAGACTCGACCAGCTGTTTATAGTAATAATGAGCCATGAACCCAGAATGAGAATTCAATGTGCAAAACGCAGCATTTCTCTATGTGACCCGAACGAGTCGGTGGTCTGTGTCTCTCAGGTTCGACATATCTGACAAGTAGGTCGTATATGCTACGCATCTACATATGAATCATGAATCGATAAACAGTATCAAAACGTCCTCTTTTGTGATACAAAAAAGACCCCCCCCCCCCCCGGAGAGGCGACTCAGGTGATTTCAGCCATCCATACGAACAGCCTCACCCTGGGTGTGCTCTGACCGTGAGGCACTCTGTCGTCATTTAATAGCATAAGAATTGTCTAGTACGTCCAGAACAACATCATTGAACCCTAGATCCCAACCCCATTGGAGCGCTCATTGGAGCAAACCTACCTCTATGTGGTCGCAAGGGAAAGCCTCTGGAGGCGCCTAAGTGCCCTTGGGACAACCCAGACGGACCAATCGCAGCCAGAGTTGTGTCTAGCGCTCAGCAGACACCGCGACCCGAGTTTTGAGAACGATAAGACTTCCATTTTGAGATGCCCGTATTCATACAGAATATACACGCCGGTACAGACGACCGCTCCATCCTCTTGCCCGCCCAAGTCCGTGGTCCCCGTCACAACCACCACCACCACCAGTGTCACACCGATAAAACCACACCCTTTCACATGCCTCTCATATCCTCTCCGAGTCCGCCTCCCGAATCGCCTTGACCTGCTCCTCCCACCCGTGCTGCCCAACGGGGACGCCTCCGAACCGGATCACGTTCTTCTTATAGGGGTGCGCCTCACCCTCGAACGCCTTGAGCCTCGCCAGCCGCGGCGCGCGCAGCCTGTTCTTGGGCAACATGCCGCTGACCGCCTTGCGCAGCACCTCGGCGCCACCGTGCTTCTCCATCAGCACGTCCATGGTGACGGCCTGCAGCGAGCCCGGGCGGGTGTTGTGCCGGTAGTACGTCTTCTGCCACTTCTTGCGGCCCGTGACGTGCAGCGCCGCGCAGTCCGTCACAACGACGTAGTCGCCACAGTCCGTCGATGGGTCCCAGGTTGGCTTGTGCTTGCCCATCAGCAGCACGGCGATGCGCGAAGCGAGGCGGCCGAGGGATGGGGGGGTGACGCCCGGCTGGGTGGAGAGGGTTTCGTGGGGAGCTGAGGCGGAGACGTGATGCCATACCCGGGAGTAGGAGAGGCGAGTCTGTCTCGCACGGAGGCCGGTGGTCAGCGGGTCTGCCCTTTGTCTAGGAAGGTTCAATTGGGGAAAGGGGGTGGGAGAGAGCGTACCAGGCCAACGGTTTGCGACATTTTGATGGTTGCTCTGGGCTGGCCGCCTCAGCCGATGCTCCGTTTGTTGTATTCACGGATCGTGCCGTTCGTCGTGGCGGAGGCTGGCAGCAGGTGATCGCAGGAGCGAAAGCTTCGAATCGGTCTCGTTCGGTCGTTGGAAGGGCTATGCGTTGCTGGCGTCGATTGGCGATCAATATCCGTTCAATCAATTGAGGCCTGAGCCCCCCAAAATTTTGGAGACACGAGAGCACGAGCGCTATCACGTGATACATCCGATAAGATAAATGGGAAACACCAAGAAATGACCAGGTGCCAGCAGCTGAAGACACCGAGAGCCGACCTTGGCCCGATCGTAGGACCTTCCTCCCAATGGCGGGCAGCACAGTCGCATTCCTTTCTATGCCCTTCTGACCCCGCCGTTGGGAGGAGGGGCAGGTGAATATGAATGTGGTGCGCATTGGGTAAGGCGATTTCAAAGCAACAATCCCCCAACGCAATCAGTGACAGTTGAACTCCACGAACGTAAGACCGACGGAAAGTATTAAAAAGCGCATCCGGCTCCCCCCATTGGACGCAATTCCGCCCGTCCTTACCAAGAAATACGTTCCTCCTCGAACTTCGGGTGTGCAGGGTTTACAACCATCTTCCTTTCCCGAAAGCACATTGCACTTCTTTCTTTGCAGTATCATCTCGGCAAGACAGGGCCGGAGCATGCTCTACTGTCTAACCGACTTCCTCCACAACTACTGCTCTCTGTTACGAAGCCCGCTGCAGCCAAGCAGAAGACCCTTCACGATGACCGTCTCATATCCATTCCAGGTGAGTCGGGGCCGTTCCGCTTCCACTTCGCTCGCCTGCGCAGGTCTCCTTCTGCATCCACGTCTGTCCGGCTCGTCAATGGGATCTGACCAAACAATCCAACCCGCACCCGTTCCGCCAGAAAGGACCCGAAGGCTTGCTTGCGCGTTTTCATTGCTGTCTCTGGCAGTGCAGAAAAAAGGGGATTGTTGTTCAGAACCACGATGGCTAATGAAACGTCCGAAAACCTGACTAGACCGTTTTTGCCGTCCCCATGACATGTGACAGCTGCGTCAAGGACGTTTCAGACTCGTTGTACAAACTGGGGGGCATCACCAAGGTCGAGGCCAACCTCGAGGACCAATTGCTGTCTGTCGAGGGCACAGGTACGCCGTTTTCTGCTGCAAACTCTGAAAGTCCCTTTCCTTCCTCTTCTTCTTTGTCGCCCAACGACGCCTTTCTCATTCCCACCCCTCCCCATTTTACACCCCTTGTTCGTCTGGGCTATACACTTTTGAAGTTTTCTCAAGCTTATTTTCTTTGGGTGACTTCTTGGGAGTTCCATAATTTGCCAAGAGCTGCATTGCTGGCCCCCCGTCATTGGACGGATTGATGGGCCCAATATTGGCGCCTCGGCGTTTGGAAAATGGTAGACGCTGACTAACAATCTTGGCGACGTCTTACAGCCGCGCCGTCTTCCATTGTCGAGGCCATCCAAGCCACCGGCAGGGACGCTATCCTGCGAGGCTCGGGGGGATCAAACAGTAGGTCACCATTCCTCGATTGGATCTTGTCCAACTCGATTCCCCCCTTCTACTTCCTGTAACCACTTGGCGGACATAAACTTTATTTCCCGATGCCACTGTCACCCACCTCGCCTTCTCATGCCGGTACTGGTGTCAGTAGATGAGGTTTGGGTTGCATGCAGACTTGCTCGCGTTGTAACACCGGACATGGTCTAGTAGCTTACTTACTTACCACCCACCAGGCGCGGCTGTCAGCATCCTCGAGTCCTTTTACCGTGCAGACGATGCCGAGCATGCAAGTAAAGAGTTGGACGGGGAGTCAGATAGAGAGGTCAGGGGCTTGGCCAGAATGGTGCAGGTTTCCCCGACTACCACTCTAATCGACTTGACGCTACGCGGTGTGGCTCCCGGCTCTTACAGAGCGACGATTCGTGAGTATGGCAACCTGGCAGAGGGTGCATCTTCGACTGGCCCTGTCTGGTCGGGAGGTAGCGAAGGTGATGCCGCCAAGGGGTTCTTGGGCGTCTTCCACGTCGGCAAGGATGGTAGAGGTAGCGCGTACCTCGACAAGACCTTTAAGATCTGGGAAGTCATTGGCCATGCGATGGTCGTCTCGAGACAAGATGAATCTGCAGGGGCGCTGAAGAACGACCCCGACACCGTAGTTGGCGTGATTGCCAGGAGTGCCGGCGTGTGGGACAATGATAAGACCGTGTGCTCGTGTACCGGGAAGACGTTGTGGGAGGAGCGGAAGGAGAAGGTCGAGAAGGGCATGCTCTAGGTCTCGTGTTGAGCACCCCGTGGGAACCCCTCGAATGATGTAGGAAATGAAGCACGAAATCAACGAAAGATTCCCCAATGTGTTTCTAGTCCCAGGAATCTCGGTTGTCAAGCCGAATATTAAACTTGCAGAGGATCATCAGCGGCAGCACGTGGAGATGGCAGTCACTGTAAACAACATCGTACGATTTTTGTGATGAACAGACTTTGGACCGCGTCTACCACGTCCCGGTAAGGTCGAGTGGCCATGGCTCCCAGGACCTTGACAAGCCAGATGCCAGGGGGGGGTGGGTGGTGTGTGTGTGTGTGTGGTTGTGCCTGCAGCCGTGGTGTGAGAAATCCCAGGAACCACCCCACTAATGGGCTTGACAATGAGGCTGAGTGTTTGAATGCCTTGGCATTCTATGCCGGAATAGGTGCGGGTGGGGGCATGGAGCAGGATGACGAAGCACTGGACTCTGGGGTCACGGTAAGGTTATTGGACCCGACATTTGTCTCTCTGGCCCGTTATGTTAACCTTTGTATGCCAAGCTTTTCAAGGCTTGTCTCGGTCAGACTTTTCCGCCGAGTTCTTGATCGTCTCCAGGCGCTGGGACAGTGGAGCCCGAGGAACATGGGAGGACTGTACGAGTACGTATACCTAGGTAGAGACGGAGAAGCCTGCGCCAGAGGGGCCCCAGAGCAGGGCTCGTAGACATGGCATCAGCGTCAGGCTTGATGCAGATCATGTCAGAAGAAACACTGACAATGGACGCGGGAGATTCCCCCCACCGATCGAAGACCGGAAGGAGGCGGAGCGTGAGTGACAGGTGGTAGATGAGACGAATTCCTAGGCGTGTGTACTGGTAGCGGAACAGGGACCAGAGGCGCTACCTTATTTATGTGGGTCGCAGGACGCCGGGACCGCCGCCATGCCATGACGAGGCCCACTTGTAAGGGGGTGTACGCAGTTGGGACAGCTGGAAGAGGCTGACACTACGGGATGGGTACGGATAGTGGGAAGTGACCGGCACGCACCCGATTACGTGTGTACATACATGGTAAGGGGTCGAAGGGGTGGAGAGGATAGCCGGGTTTGAAACCAGCCTGATATCGGATGTGGGATACTGCCGTCTGCGCGTACAAGTCGAGCTGGGCAGCCAGAGAAGAGATCAGGGCGGCAGGGAAGGCAAAGCCGTTCATCGACGACGGCCTCGGTAGGTCGACTATGACGGGAATCTCAGTGATGATGAGGGCATCTTAGGCGCGACGGTGATGCCACTGCACGAAACTAAACATGCCGGTGAGGGTGTGATTTGAGGAACAGCTGTCGAGTGAGGACTAAAATCGGGAGATGCAGCGGTTTGGCGGCGATCACCTAGTCTGGCTGCCAGTAGTGGGGGTTGCCTTGCTAGCAGGGGGGGACGTCAAAGTTTGCATTGAGGGAGAAGAACGGCGGCGATCGCACCGCATCACTGGTTGATTCATCCGTTAGCAAGGATGCCCAGACTTGTGACGGTTTCTGGGTGAAGAGACACTGGTTCACAAGGATGGAGACGGTGGTAATAACTCGGCAATACAATACAGGCAAGTCGGATTGTACGCTGTTGTCAGAAGCTTTCAACTGCGATGCGAAGCGATGCATTGTGTGGCGTTCTGTGTGTTCGTGTTGACGACGGACCGTTGAGGCATCTGGCTTCTGGTTGCTTCGACCAAGACGTCGTCGAGGGTCGGAATGGAAGGGGCTTCTGGTGAACGAGGTGCAGTGAGCTCTTCCGAGTGTGGATGACTCCTCGACTCGGCCAGATGCTGCGTGATAAAACACGGTCACGTACGTGGGTTCATGCGGCGGACCGGCTGGTAGCCCGCACGGGGATGCAAGTACCCATCGATCGCGGCATGGAAAGACAACGTACAGCTGTACCTACACTACATAGGCAGTAGGTAGCAAGGGCGACATGTTGCAGGTTGATCTGTCAAGAAGCACCCAAGGAAGAAGCGTGCCGCCCCTGTAGGCGGGACGTTCGTCGGTGGAGACTCTATTTTGCATGGGATTTCCAAAACAGCCTAGAGGACAAGCGAGTTTCGCAGAATCTCTGAGACTGGGTCGTGCAGGGATAATTAGAGTTAGTGATACCGTCCTTCCGTCGACGGCATATGCTCGGAATTTGTCCAGTTCTTAGGAGGCGAGCTGTCTTGCTTCTTCCGAATGTTGGGTTACGGGACAACGGGGGAAGAGACTATTGAGAGGTACAAGCCACTCCATTCGTAGCGATAGGGCCTGATTTTACCTTGTGGTGCGCAGTGTAGTTGATGTTGTTCTTTCGCGCTTTGGGGGGGTTTGCGCAGCCATGCATTACATCATTGATTCCCCAATGTAGAAAGAAGAGTTGCAGGCATTTGCTCGACACCTTGTATTATTAGAATTTTACCGCACTTTATCCTTCCTCGCGGATTACACACTGTGTCCTGCCATCAATGACAGGCAGCAGCTGCCGGTGTACAGACACCAAGACAACTGACCTGGGTAAGTTACGGAAAGGCAGGTAGATGCTGTTTCTCGGGCCGGGACGCAAGCTGTGAATGTTGCTGCTGCTGCTGCTGCTGCTTGCGTCGAGATCAGATGAGATATCACCTAGGTAGGCATGTAGGTAGGTAGTAGGCAGGTACCGTAGGTACTCAGATAGGCTAATGGACCCGACTGATAGGTTGTGGCTGGTCGTCCCCGCCCCCCTCCTTAGACTGCCTATAGAATGCATACCTACTACGGATACAGTACAGTACGTTGCTGACGGATTGAAGCCAAGCCTCGATCCGGCATCCCTGTCCTTGCACAGTTTCGAGGCTTCCTCCCTTCAACTTCGCGATGCTTTCGATCAACAGCGTGTAACCAAGACAGGCCAAACAGAAGACTCGGGCGAAAGGGTAAGCGGCAGAGGCCCGTCTCTCCCTCGAGCTGGTGCCGCAATATGCGTGATTGTTGGCACACTCGTCACACCACGATGGCATCATCAAATGGCAGCAACGGCCGAGCACCATCTCGACCTCGTTTTCAGTACAACCCGGGCCTGTGGAATGCAACTAGGTTTCTATGCAGGAACGCCATCCTAACAGGCATATACATGATGGACTACCGAGACTGTGCCGCAGTCTCGCAGAGGTCTTGACTTGTGGGTGGGGGACTCTGTGTCACCACTGGTGCCTTTGGTATTTCTCGCCGACCGTCATCGACCAAGCGCAAGCCCATACCATCTTGCCATGGTTACCGTGTTGTCTGATTAGACAAATGGTCGCCTATCTGTTCATCGTGACGCTTGCTTCCGATATGAGCTCATCAATCACTCCCCAAAGCTGGCATGGACGTTACCAGCGGTCTGGAAATGCTTGACGCGGGCTTCGGCGTGGTTCGGCAAACCTCTGCCCAACAACTGATGGCATGCCAATACGCGCCAAGGCAGTCGGCATTGCCAACTCGCCAGAACAACCCCGTCACAACATCGTCGCCGACGCTTAAACATGTCGTCGGACTTGACTCTGCAAATGCATCAATCACTCTCGGGCAGTGCTAGGTGGTGTGTTTTGGACGGCTCGCGTCATTTCGCCGGTCCAGCCGGTTGGTTTGATGGTCCCATTTCAGTATGGCGGCCTGCAAGCACTCACATCTAGCCTAGTGTACTTCTCATCCTCATCCCTGGGACCGGAGAGGCGAGAACAAAAAGAAATAACAATAATAATAATAATAATACCTAATCACAAACCCCGCGGTGACGGTCAAGATCGGATGGAGGTGCCTGCAGTTACAGTCACATTTGCAGCAGCATCTCCATATCTCAAGCCACGAGGCGTGATACGGCCGGCGAACTGCAGGCTGCGGGGGCCAGTCACCAAGAAGGAGCAAAGTCACGACTGTGATTATGACGGCGTTAGGTCCGTCACGTACGCGCCGTTGGCCCGGCCCAAGGCCCGTGTTCCTGGGGGGCCAATCAAGCGCACCTCGCAGGCGCTGGAACGCTTCGTGCATGGGAAGGCAGGCCCTGATTCGCAGTGGTTCCAAAATGCCTGCGACACCGGGCAATAGTGCATTGCCATTAATGAGCCGGAAGGCATTTGTACACACTTCGTATAAGCACGACGGCCGGGACAGGGTAGACTCGAAGGGCCTGTTGGGCCACTGCAAGATGGATGTGCGATCTGACCCGCGGCGCCCTGACGCTGGCTGCGACTTCTTTCTGGCCTCCCCACTCTCGAGTGAGAAAGGAGTCGTGAGTGCCCAGGCGTTCTCTTACACCCCCCCCGGAACGGGCAGTCGGATGGGATGACCAGACAAACCAGGGGTTTGCCTCCTCCTCCTCCTCCTGCAAGGCGAGGCCCGAGGGCATCCCAACATTCGATGCCGAGCACATTCACAACCCGGCATCTGGCGACGAGATATGCAAAGTGGTTCGATTTCGAGCAAAATCACTTGACGGCTTCACTCGATTAAGACAAGTTTGTTTCTTCACCAGGCGGAATACCTTGTCGAATACCAAAAGGAGGGATCTGCGCGGCTGCTTATAGTTTAGTATGTACGGATATATTGGGGGAAAACGGCACCGGGCGGGAGATTTTCTCTCTCTCTCCCTCTCCCCCTCCATCTATCTATCTCTCAGCCTCTAGCGCTGAGCTGTGTACCTACGCGAGAATATGTCACTGCGGCCAGTTCTGCGACGCACCGGTTGCACAATTTTCGTCTCTTCCAGACAAGAGGGCGTGTAAAAGTCGACCCAGAGACAGCAGACTCTCTTGCAAACAAGAGACAAGACATATTCCTACACCCCCCCCTCCCATGCCCAAGCCATTCGTTTCGAGCTCTTCACTCCTAGCAAGGCACCCCCCTCTCTCCCCCCCTTCTCCTTCTCTCCTCTTGGATGAGCGTCGACGGCAACAGGAACAGCGCACACCCCCCCCCCCCCCACTGGATCCTCCCTTCCCCTTCCCCTCCCCCTACTCCCCCCCCCCCTTCCCCTCTCCTGTGACTCGCAGCAGCTGGGCCAGCATCAGAGCACGAGCATCCTAAGCGTTTCCTGACGGACTATCCAACTTGGAATATCAATCACTGTTGAGTACCTTGCATGATATACACCCAGTCTTGCGGCGGCCCACAACCCGACCAGTCAAGTCCCCCATGGTCCCTCGCTGCAAGCACCAACTCGACTCTATTTTCTCTACCCTCCTTTCCGTAGACGCTGGCTTTTCGTCCTCGGTCCATTCATTCATTCTCTTTCCCTTCCTCAAGACTCAGCTGCAAGCCAGACCATTCCATCACTTTCTGTCCCCTTCACATCACACTTGCCTGCTCCCACGACTACATGCGAGTTGGGGATTCGCGATACGATAGCCTTCACCGACCTCGATCGAGCCCTGTCTTTTCTGACCCGCCAAACTACCCATAGTCGAACGACCGTCGGGGGTTTCGACTCTAATTAACGCACGACTCCAATCCGAGAAGAGCAGCTGCCGCCCGACAACGCAGTCTTGTGCACTCTTCGTATCTGCTCATCTCTCACACTATCCATCGCCCACCCACGCGCGCGCACACACACACACACACACACACGCACGCACACACCCACCTGCGCTGTCTTCTTTTCTCCCTCCCATCGTCACAGGCGGACAGACACGGAACACGGCTTGTCGGTCTTGGGCCATTTGAATTGTAACAGTCCAGACGTGAATAGCAAACACAACAACGGGCTGGCTTCGGAACCCCCCTTTGGCGCGTTGCCCGACTTACATATTACTACGGCCTAGTCCATCCACCCACCTTGTCCTCTCTAACCACTGGACACGACGCATCCAAGAAGGACCGTCCTATCCCCTCCCCTCCCCGACAACTTAATCCCGTTTCTCGACGCACAACGCACACAAACCCGAAACACCGTCCTCCTTTTTGGCAACTACTTCTGCTGGACAGGAACGCAAGAGAGGAAGAAAAGGCAACCTTAACCCGGAGTAACAGACTCCAACTATCTCATCATTGGGCGAACCCTCTTTCTCAAAGAAGCCTCTTCTCCCCGCCGTTGCATTGCCTTTTTCTGCACAAGATTTCGGCTACCGTCAGACGGGGCCAAGTATCGATCCCTGGTGTACCCGCCACGCGCCAAGATCTCCAGCTTGTCGCTGAGGTCCGAAGTGCATCCATTTCAGGCTCTGGTTCTATTGGAAGCGGGGGTAAGTACTCCAATCGTCATTTCAGTGGCGCCGAACACCGCACGACCGACAGACCGCCAACCATCTCCCTAAATAAGCCCTGGGGGACCCTCCCTAGCCGCCCGCAGCGCACTTTATTGTTGCTGTTCCGGTTCGCATCCCTCTTTTGGCTTTCGTTGTCGTTCCACGCCCACTGCACTGCACACCATCCCCACAATACCCGTTGCCGCTTTTTCGATCGCAGCAGCCACGGTCTGCTTGCGCAACATCTTCACCATCACGGCCTTTTCGCCTTTCTTCTCTATTGATAATTCTAGCCCGGTGACGCAATGTCATTGAAACAGGTACGTGCTTTGCCGAGGACCAAGTCCGCTCTTGACAGACCCGAGCCACTCGCTTTCGACGAGTACATGGTGGCTGACAGCTTCTCGCTACAGGAAATAGAAACGTGGGTGTCGGCCTTGGGCCGATACGACAACAACGAGTTCGATGAGGCCCTCAAGGATTTCGAGAAAATCTCTGACACGTCAAAAATTCTCTTCAACATGGGTGTCATTCACGCCACATTAGGAGAACACGAGAAGGCTGTACGTCGCGCCTCGCCCGCTATCCTGAGAGTTCTCGTGCTGATTTGAAACTAGGTTGAATGCTACCAACGAGCCATCAAGCTTGACCAGTACTTGGCCGTCGCCTACTTCCAGCAGGGCGTCTCAAATTTCCTCCTCGGCGACTTCGAGGAGGCGCTCGCCAATTTCAACGACACTCTTCTCTACCTTCGCGGAAACACAATGATCGACTACGCCCAGCTGGGACTGCTCTTCAAACTATACTCTTGCGAGGTCCTCTTCAATAGAGGCCTCTGCTACATCTACCTGCAACAGAAGGATGCTGGCTTGCAGGATCTGACATACGCCGTCAAGGAGAAGGTCGTCGAGGACCACAACGTGATTGACGAGGCCATCCGAGAAGAAGCAGAGGTAAGAACTGCTGCGTCCACCATCCCCCAGTAATCCTAACAACGATACCAGGGATACACCGTCTTTTCGATTCCCGTTGGCGTCGTCTACCGACCGAACGAAGCAAAGGTTCGCAACCTGAAGACAAAAGATTATCTCGGCAAGGCCAGGCTAGTCGCCGCCTCCGACCGCGCGAATGCTTTCACAGGCTTTGCTGGGTCCGAGATCAAGAATGTAGGCGGATCGGTTCCCATCCCAATCAGCTTCTGATGGAAATCAACTTGCTAATCAGAGACTTCTTGGTTTCCAGGCCGGCAAGAACGACGTCAAGGATGACAGACCCAGTGATAACATCTCCTTCGCCGCCACCAACCTAGTCAAACCTGGGTTGGCATCCAGAAGACAGCAATCCGAGCCGCCCAACGGTCGCGGTGTCTTTCCTCCCACGCCCCCACCTGACCAGGTCGAGGCCAACAATGGCGCCACCATGACTCGTGGACAGTCTGTTCGCAACGGGCCCAAGCCGATGCTTGCCAAGCTGAACATTGAAAACTCACGACCCAACGAGCGATACCAGAAGACGAGCAGCCCCAACGATCGGAGAGGACCCCCGGCCATGATGAGATCCGAGTCGCGGTCCGCTACGCCTAGTAGAGGATACTCTAGACGTGACCTTCAGATGCGTGGACGGCCGGCCGATGAGGAGGCGGAAGATGCGTACCCCGATGAACTGTACGATATGTACCAGAATGGCAACGGCAACAGCACAAGAACGAGCCGACAACCCTCCCGCCGTGGACCCCCGCAACGGTACATGGATGAAGAGGAGGACGGTTCCGATTATGGCTCCTTCGATGAGGGCGACTTCGAGATGGTGTCCAACAGACGCCCGGGCACAAACTCGATGTCTTCCCGTGGCGGTTCAAGGAGACCCGAAGTCCGCAAGATTCGTGTCAAGGTCCACGCCGAGGATGTGCGGTACATTATGATAGGCGGAGCGGTCGAGTTCCCTGACTTTGTCGACCGGATCCGCGAGAAGTTCGGCCTCCGCCGGAGATTCAAGATCAAGATTCGCGACGAGGACGTGCCAAATGGCGACATGATCACCATGGGCGACCAAGATGATTTGGATATGGCTCTCATGAGTGTGAAGAGCCAAGCCAGGAAGGCAAGGCAAGAAATTGGCAAAATGGAGGTAAGTCACAACCATATTCCCCTCGTGTCAGTTCATCAACGCCTCTAACTCTGTATCACAGATCTGGGTTCAAGAAATTTCGTAGACGATTATACCCCAACCAAGCCTTTGACGATGTAATGACCAATAACCTGCTCGCCCTGGGCCTGCAACCTTTCCTTCTTCATCTAGTACACCTTTTATTATCGTCACCATTTGTTGAACTTTCAGAAGGATCGGTTGTAGACAAAGGGCTTATAAAACTGTGGGATGTGAATTAAGGGGGAATCAGAGGAGGATGGATAGCAGCTCAAGAAAGAAAGAGCCAGACAGAGCTGGCTCGATGGCACACCACCCAACAGCCGCAGACGACCCACGATCATAGCGCTGCATTGTTTAGAAGACGGAACACGAGCCTCGAGAGGCGGTTGGCTTCGGCGATTACGGTTTTTCGTACTCCCTTACCTTTTACCCAACCCCCCCTTCTCTCTCTTTTTGGTCCGTCGTCGTAATTTCCATTTCGATTTATCATGTCTTTTCTTGCTTCTGCGCCCGTCTGTCACCTACAAACTCGTGTTTGCGAAGGGCGCAATACCAAACAATCTTAATGCACCTAGACCCATATAGCATTGCCCCTGCCGTCTCATGTGTGTATATGTTATGTATATGAATATGGACCTTTTGTAAGTCCATGGGAAGTGAAGGCAGCCAAAGAACGGATCGGCCAAGCATCATGGTTATGTTAGTGCAGATTGAATCATCAGGACAAATGGAATCCTACCCGCGTAGAGTTGTGTGCCTCTGGTGTTTCGGCTCATTGCCGCTTTGTTCATTGTGGGGCAATGCGATTGGTGATTGCGAAAATGTGATGTGGGTACATGGCGCTTTCGACCGAATCTGTCGAGTTGTGTCAAGTTCCTTGGCACACAGACAGTCTCAATACGAGAAGGTTCGCTTGACATGACCAAGTCTTGACTTCTGGGGCAGATGGCATGGTATTACGCTAGGCGAAACGCGCTGTCCGAGCACTATAATACACACCCACACAGGGAGAAAGAGAGAGTTTTATTCCTACAATATCATACGCCGACTGCTCCTGCGGCAAGTCAAACCAGACACCAACATCGTGTTCCTTCGGACAACCCCTCGGACAGCCGCTACTTCCCCCTTCCCCCGCTCTCGATTTTGGCGCCTCTGACAGAACGGGGAGACCGGAACTATGCATGTTGCATGCCGGCCAGCCACGTAGAGGTTACGAGAGCCAACGAGTGGGATAGCACTTGGGGGGGGCTGGGACAGAGCACAGCCGTCTTTCCTCGCTCAGCGGCGAGATACCCAACGTCCTTCATCTCACTGTTCGGCACAGAGCTCGAACCTCGTCAAGGTCTCCGCGCGCCCCAGTAACGCGAGCTGCAACTTGGCAGGCTTGGCGCCGCGGTTGTGGTCGCCCGTGAGGACGAGCCGCAGCAGCGCGTACGTCGCCTTGTTGATCGGCCTGGCGGGTCTCTCTGGGTCGACGGAGGCGGCGTGGCGCGCGGAGAAGTCGTTAATGACAGACTGCAGCCTGTCTGGAGCCCAGTCGAGCTCGTGGACGTCACGGAGGGAGGCGTGCAGGTCCGCGAGGAGGGCCGGGGGTGTGGCCGTGGTGTCCGCGAGGGAGAGGTTCTCGAGAGAGCGGGCGTAGGCTTGTGCTGATGGGCGAAGGAAGAGGGAGGGATGCTCGTGGACCAGGTCCAGGGGGTCGACAGGGGAGTCGGCGGCGAGGGTGCGGTAGATCTGGAGGAGGTGGGCGGGAGCTGTGGCTGGGGAGGAGAGGAGCGGGGTGAGGGAGGTGAAGTCTGCCGTTGAGAAGAAGTGTCTTGAGTTGGTCGGAGAGGTGAGGATCTCGGGCGTAGCAATTGTCGATGCGCCCTTGGGGGGCGAAGCATCTCCGGGAGAGGTGGGAGGTTCCGTCGGAGATGAGGGGAGGAGAGATGAGATGCGGGAAAGGAGACTGGTAGTGGGCGGGAGGAGGGCTTGCTTGAGAAGTTCCTCGTCGGCGTTCTCCTCGCGCAGGCGGTGGGTGAGGTGCTTGCGTTGGAAGACGGCGAGTTTGTCCGGGTTTGTCTTGATGTTGCCCTTTGTGAACCTGAGGGAGAACTGTAACATGATGTAAGTGAGAGACCGATCAGAGCTCCTTCGTCCCCCGATCGGAGACGGGGAAGACGCTGGCACATACTTTTTCAGCGAGCTCGTTTGTTGTGTAGAACACCTCGCCGCCCTTGGCGAGGTCCTTCTCGTTCATACTCCAGCCCAGCAGAGCGAGCCAGTTGTTGAGCGCGGAGGGAAGGATGCCCTTGTCGCGGTAAGACGAGATGTCGATGTCGTGGTTGCGCTTGCTGAGCTTCTCGCCATTCTGGGCGCAGAGCAAGCCGGCGTGGGCGAAAGTCGGGGGCTCCCACTTGAAGGCGTCGTAGAGAGCGATGTGCTTGGGCGTCGAGATCAGCCATTCCTGTGTCAGTGTAAGCTTTGCTCAGGGGTACGCGTAGAACAGAGGGGGCAAGAATGAAGGGTGACGAACAGCACCGCGGATGACGTGAGTAATCTCCATGAGGTGATCGTCGATCACATTGGCGAAGTGGTAGGTCGGGTACCCGTCACTCTTGACGAGGATGAAATCGTCCTCGTCTTCGTTCTTCTGGTAGTTGCCATAGACCCGGTCGACGAAGGACGGGCGGCCCTCGCTCCGGAAGCGTACGACGTGCTTCTCGCCGTTGGCGGCGCGGCGTTCGGCCTGGGACGGCGGTATGCCGCGGCACGTCCCTGGGTAGTGCGCGGAGCCGCCACCGTCGTCGAGGACCTGCTGCTTGTGACGCTCGAGGTCGTGCGCCGTGCAGAAGCAGCGGTAGGCCTTGCCCTCGTCAAGGAGCTGGGCGGTGTACTGCTTGTAGTAGTCCAGGCGTTTTGACTGCGGCGGGTTTAGAGAAGTGGTCTGACGACGATAGGGGCGATGAATAGGGGGTTTACTTGTTCGTACGGTCCGTAAGGTCCGCCGACGTCAGGGCCTTCGTCCCAGTTTAACTCAGCCCACTTGAGGTCTGCGAGTAGACGCTCGACGGCATCATCGACGATACGTGTCTTTGGGGTATGTTAGTTTTTAGCGTCTACCCGAAGCGACGAGTCTCGACTCACCCGGTCCGTGTCTTCAACCCGAATGATGAACTGCCCACCAGTAGCCCGTGCGATAAGCCAGTTGAAAAGAGCAGTCCTCAAAGACCCCAGGTGGAGGTATCCGGTGGGAGAAGGGGCGAAGCGCGTCCTGGCCGGCTTGTCGGGCAATTCGCGAAGCCTCTTGTCGGCCAGCGGCGGCAACTTCTTCCTCAGAGCTTGGAAACCGCCCTTTACAGATGACGAGTGCCATCTCGGGGTGCCCGCGCTTCGGCACCGGCCGCATGCAAGAAGCGAGCGCTGGAAAACGGGCCTGCCCTGTTGTCTCAGGGCTATTGTCGACATCTCATAGACATTTATCACGACGCTGCAATGTTGTGTCGTTGATGAAAGGACTTATTTGGGTATGAAATTTGTCGATGAGCTTCAGCCACGTGTGGCGCAGCCATCATGCATCAAGCGAGGTATTTCACATGTACTGGCTTACAAGTACAGTGCATCGCTCAATGCCGGCCTGGCAGACCGACCCATAGCCGTCAGGATACATTTCTAGCACTTTTCTGGCTCCGTGCGTTACAGATACGAGAAGATAGAGGCTGTACGTAAGAGGCCTGGCGCCTCGAGCGTACGTCCCTTTGTTGGTGTAGGAAATAGTGCTATGTCGTCCGACCGCTCTGTTGGAGACGAGCTCGGATGACACCGGTGGAATCTGAACAGCATGTCTAAAATTTTGCCAAAAGACTCGGGTCATTGTAGCTAAATTAGGAAAAAGTTTAGTATCTAGAAAGCTTTTCGAACTTGAGCTCGGTGCCCCAGCGGCCTCGTCATTAATGGCCTCTGGCTCATCGAGCGTCTTCCTTGCTGGGGAGAGTGGATGCGACAACTACATAAACTCTTGTCTGGAACAGAACACCCAACAGCCGTGCAACTAGCTGGCCGTAGCGTGTCTGGGCGTTGGCAAGGAAACTTACTGCAAACCCAACCAAGGCTTTTACAATCGCCAGGATAAATGAGTGTACAACAAATGGGGTATGTAAAATGGTGGCTGGGCACACCATGCTGATGAACAAGTGCAGGGGGATGGATAGGTTGGCGGGCCACAGAACGTGGTCCCAAGATTGATTACCTGATATCCACCACGCACTCCGAGGAGAGCCTGGGGTCGTTTAGGGACCGTAAGGGACCGCACGCCCCGTAAGGCACTGCATGTACACGTACCCCGCCAAACAAAGGGCCGCCGCGACAGGTACTCCAGACAAAATATTTTCAGGACTTCTCCACATCCCACCATTTTCACATCCCCAAAACACGCCTTGAAGGTCGAATCTCGAGCGAATCTTTAGCCCGAGTACCCTTCGAGAAGCCTCAAGCATGGACAGCGGTGGACCGAGCGCCGGTCCCGACATGTCGGGGGAGGAAGACATTGATCTCTACGGTAAGTCTCTGCTGATGGAGCCTAGGGAGGGTACTTGAGTTTCTCGCTGTGGATCACATCTGACGCATTCTTCCAGAGCTCCTTGGGATCGATAAGGATGCCTCGCAGGATCAGATTAAGAAGGCTTACCGCAAGGTTCGTGATACCCCCTGTGGTTGCGGCAACACCGTCGACGGCATCGCACGCTGCAACATCCTGTACTGACTAGTCATCTTCCCCCATTCAGGCTGCCCTTCTTCACCACCCTGACAAAGTCCCTGAGGACCGCAGAGAAGAGTCGGAAGCCAAGTTCAAGGCTGTCAGCCAGGCTTACGAAATCCTCAAGGATGAGGACAAGCGCCACCTCTACGACACCCATGGCATGGCTGCCTTCGACCCCTCGCGGGGCGGCCCCGGCGGTCCCGGTGGCGTCGAAGTCGACCTGAACGATATCTTGTCGCAAATGTTTGGCATGGGCATGGGCGGCCCTGGAGGTCCTGGCGGTGGTCCCAGAAGACCCCGTCGTGGCCCCGACGAGGACCAGCCCTACAAGGTTACGCTCGAGGAGTTGTACAAGGGCAAGACCGTCAAGTTTTCCGCAAACAAGCAGGTCGTCTGCGGCACCTGCAAGGGATCCGGCGCCAAGGCGAACGTCAAGCCCCAACAGTGCGAGAAGTGCCGGGGCGCCGGTATGACTGACGCCTTCCGCCAAGTCGGTCCAGGTCTGGTCCGCAAGGAGACTGTCATTTGCGACCGTTGCGAGGGATCCGGCAATTTTTACAAAGAGAAGGACCGCTGCAAGAAGTGCAAGGGCAAGCGTACGACGTCGGAGACCAAGGTTCTCGAGATCTACATCCCCAGAGGTTCTCAGAACGGCGAGAGGATCGTCTTGGAGGGTGAGGCAGACCAGCTCCCCGACCAGACACCTGGAGACATTGTCTTCCATTTGGCCGAGGAGCCCCACGACGAATTCACCCGCATTGGCAACGACCTGTCTGCCGAGCTGAACGTTACCCTTGCCGAGGCTCTTGGTGGCTTCTCCCGGACTGTCTTGACGCACCTCGACGGTCGCGGCATTCACATCGAGAGACCGCGCGGCAAGATCCTTCGCCCCGGCGACATTCTCAAGGTCCCTGGCGAGGGTATGCCTCACAAGCGCGGAGATACCAAGGGTGACTTGTACCTAATTGTCAATGTCGAATTCCCCGAGGATGGCTGGCTGAAGGACGACAAGGAGTACGATGCTCTGAACAAGCTCCTCCCGCCCCCGCCTCCGACAATTGAGGCCGACGAGGTTGACGAGGTCGAGTACGAGGAGGTGGATAGCCTGGACTCGGTAAGTTTCGACATTCTCTGAAGACGACGCAATTTTGACAGGCACTAACACTTGTCTACAGATGGGAGCCAACTCGGGCGACCCGCGGTTCGGCGGCGAATGGGAGGACGAGGAAGAGGATGACGGCCAGCCCCAGTGCCAGCCCCAGTAAGAAGACGCTAGGATGATAGAGGATTTTAGAGGACAGAGTCTTTGGGCTTGACGCCCTGAACCTCACGACAGACATGACGACCGGAACGGTGTAGGGTGACCATAGACAGGGATCGGAGAGGAGTTTTGTTTGTTAGGTTGGGCATCATCCCGCTCATGAATGAAAGGCAGCCCGCGAATGGGGCCACGTCGCTTCTCAATTTCCAAGAACTTGAGCGATCAACATAAACGATCATGGCACAGTAACAAGATGAATGGTCTCTAATGCTTCGCTTGGCTCGTCGTGCCCAGCAAGCAGATGACGCCAGGCCTGACATATCACCGCATCAATCAAAGAGATGTTTGTCGTCCTGGATGAAACCGTTTGTTACAGACGAGGATTATCACTTGTTGGTCCAAGTGTAGCCAAGAAAATAATAATGGTGACTCATTCAACAGAGGCGGTTGGAAGGGACCTTGATCGTTTGGCGTTGTGCTGTTTCGTTAGTGACAGGGAACCTAAGCTGGCAACTTCAAGAATGGCCAATCCCATATTGCATCCTATATAGTAAGTAAGCGATTACATGCACACAGATAAGGAACTTTAACACGTATAGATTATAAAGCTGAGTATCTGTGTACAAGATACAGCATCCAGTGATATGTTTGACTATAGAAATTGCATTAGTGCTACAATTTTATATATTCCCAGTTCTATCCCATATAGTATAGTGGTTAGTATACTCCGCTTTCATGCCTCTGCTAAGATCCGGAGAGTCCCGAGTTCGAACCTCGGTGTGGGAACTAGATTTTTGCTGTTCGCTGATGCTGGTCAGATGAGATGAAATGACCTTTTGCTTCGTCGAAAACGTCGGGTGAGGCACATAGTGGGCCAGTGGTCCGTTTCTTTTTTATTTATCCCTCGGCCCATCTCATTGGCCCCAAATCCAAAAGGCCCCAGCAGCACACAACACCCAAATCGCTAGCGCCCCTGAATGGACAGCGGGGTCCTTGGCTTTTCGGCTGGCCCCACGTGACTGCAAAAGCCCTGTGGCTCTTTCCCACACAACTTCATCAGCGAAAATCTTCAATTTTTATCTACCTCGACACCGACGACGAACAACCGCCCACTAACCGACAGCCAGAACAGCCGTCAAGGTGAGATTCAATCGCTGCTGCCGTCACGATCGACTTATTGTCGTTCTCTGGATTGATTGCTGACTTTGATTTATGTAAAGATGGTCGCCGCAAAGAAGCACGTTCCTATCGTGAAGAAGCGTATGTTTTTTTCCCTCCCATCAATCAGCCTTCACACTTCGGCCACCCCTCTACGACCCCGCGCTCCCGACAACCACAATAACGATACAAAACCACCGATGAACGATGCTTGGGATTTATGAACGAGAGGGTTGACGGATGTGATTTTGTATAGGCACGAAGCTCTTCAACCGCCACCAGTCGGACCGCTTCATGCGCGTTGACCGATCATGGCGCAAACCCAAGGGTATTGACAACCGTGTCCGCCGTCGCTTCAGGGGCAACACCCAAATGCCCTCGGTACGTGGAATACCTTCCTGCTGGTGCTAGACTATCATAAAGAGGAGGGACTTGTTGGTGGCAGACGACTATGGACAGAGGGGTTCTCGAGGATGAACAACTGCTGACCCAAGTTTACGTACTACAGATCGGCTTCGGTTCCAACAAGAAGACCAAGTACATGATGCCCTCCGGCCACAAGGCTTTCCTCGTCAGCAACGTCAACGACGTCAACCTCCTGCTGATGCACAACCGCACCTACGCTGCCGAGTGCGTACACCCCCTGCCCATTCCATATCGCGCTTGCTTCACAATATTGAGCCATGGGATGTCGATGATCCTGGCCAAATAACTAACCGGTTGTAGGATCGCCCACAACGTCTCCTCGAGAAAGCGTATCGACATCATCTCCCGCGCGAAGCAGCTTGGCGTCAAGGTCACGAACCCCAAGGCCAAGGTCACCACCGAGGTTTAAGCAAACAAAGCCAGGAATGGTGGCGTGGAATCAGCTATTCGGGGCGAAGGGGGTCAATGGTTTTGGCCAGTCACTTGCATTGTGCTCTCTCATATTCAGGGAACGGGAATGCATCGGAATACGGTTTCTGCTGCGGCGATGATTCAGGGCTGCGGCTTGGCATGGCTCGTACCGTTGTGCTAGGAAATACAAAAACAAAACACAACCGCAGCCACAACCCAAAAATTCAACGACTTGATGTTCTTTTCAGGGCGTGTTGTTCTCATTACTTACGTCTGATATTGACAAAGACACAAAAATGGCGTTGGATGGGGGGCAGGGAAAAACAGAATCCTTCATATGCTCGGCAATTCGAGAATATCACCAACCCGTTTGGCCCTGTTACTCGTCATCCTCCCGTGCACAAGTGAAGGACGTTAACAATGCCATGCACTAAACACGCTTGCCCACAAGATCTCAGACCGGAATTGTGAGAAGGGCATCTTGAGATAATAACAGTCTACATCAAGGAACTATCAAGCATTAGTCCTCCCGGTTCCTGTCAACTTTGGTCAATACGATCTGGTCTGTACGACTACATCACGTCCCTTCATATATTCCCACCATTGCCTACCACTCGAGCAACTTACCTACAACGTGACGACATGAAGGGCAGACGATCTGTTGTTCAGGCTACCAAGTGGAACCTGTTACGACACTCATCGGCAATGCGAGAAAGTCTGTGGAAATGCTAAGAATGTTGGTATAGTCTTTACCTTGGCCAAATGACATTCTGCTAGAATTGAGTCGACGACGAAGCAGAAACCATTGATTCCCTAGTTGTCACAATAGCCATCAACTTGGTACTTATGTGAAAATTTGATTATTATCTAGGTAAGTTGTTTCGTCATGCACTCATTTCCTTCGTACCGCATCACAACCCTCTCTCTCTCTCTCTCTCTCTCTCTCTCTCTCTCTCTCTCTCTCTCGTGCGCAACGATGTAGAGTACCCCATAAGGACAGGCACGGACAGGAAGGAAACGCTCGCTTTCCCATCCCTGAATCGCAAATAGAAACGCCTTGGCATCCCGTGAGCTCGCTGGAAGAAAAACGTATTGGAAATGTTGTTATTGGGGCTTGTGGTAGCGATCGGTGAGGCAAGGAAGACGCCCTTCACGCCCGCGCTGACTGAGCGATGATCCTCCCGTCGTCGCACCCACCGCCTCGGCCCTGGTGGGAAAGGCGCCTCGCCTATCTGAAGCAATGGAAACGGCCGATACGGAAGCGCCAAGGACCGCGGCGAACGCCATGACGGTCGGCATGGACGCTGGTGCCGAAGTTGCGGCCGCCGATGGGTTTGGAGTAGAAGAAGGGCATGGCTGCGTTTCGGTGGTTTATGTGGTTTGCTAGACGCAATGTCAGCACAAGGTTCGGATGTTGCGAAAGTTCCAAAGGCGCCGAAAGCTGGGGCGTGGATTGGGCGTGGGTGTTAAGGTTACCTTAGGTTGTGTGGTCGATTAGTACCTAGGTAGTAAAGCTTGTTCTTTGTAATGGCTTGGATAACGACTTGGATGGACTGGGCAGAAGCCAAGGTGGATGGGGTGTTGTCTTTTATATACTATGCATACCATACCATACGTGTTGGTGCAGTAGCGGTGACAGAAAGAGACTACCGGGGGTTTGGTTCAATAAGGTAATAACAACGAGCCAGCAGACCTCCCTTCGCTTTGCTTTTCCCTAACCTTTCTTACGATCCAATGGCATAAGGTCCTCAAACTTGGCTGGTAGGTTCTCGCTTGCTCTCCATGGCAGTGGTGTTGTATGCCAAGAGCTCGTTGAGAGGAAAGGTGACGTAGGGCGTGGCTGAGCAGCGTGTGATGTGCTTGCATGTTGTGGCTGGGGCGCAGTCATTTTTGGTAGTTATTGACGGAGGGCGCCGCGCCTTGGGCAGGTGAGCAAGGGAGCATCGGTGGTTGGTTGGTGGAAGTGCCCGATTCATATTTGGTCTCACCCAGGCTCAGATGGTCGATCATTGCTACGCTGCCTACCTATGAGGTGGTTCTGGACCTCCTACTGTGGCTGACGTGGCGTTGAGAATCGAGTATGATGCTTATACATCGTACTACGTTATGTTCTCCGACAGTATTAGAGTATTGTTGTGTATCCGTATCCGTACCTGTGCGACCTTAAGAGTGACCGCCTTGGATACGTACCTTAGTCGATTGTGGCTGCGGGAGGGTCCGCTGAATTGAGGTAACCGGGAAATGACGTGCGGCGAGCTCGCTAAGGTGCAAACGATCGATCAGTTGACAATGAGATTGGACAGACCTTCCCTTCCTCAATATCGTTTTTTCCTTGCAGCGTTATTCTGCTTTTCACAAGCATCACTATTGGGCTCCAAGTGTTGGAATTGGACATAGGAACACTGGTCCGGACCACAGCTCCCCCCCTGCTCAGGGCTATCAAATATGAAAATTGTTTGGCAAAACCGTAACCATACTTCGACGTGATGCTTTTGCTCTGTCCACCACTGCTCTTATCGCCGCATGCCGCGCTTGTGTGGTTGGTCCACCGAACCTGGCGAGGAAGGCACCACTTGTCCAAAGAAGGTTGCACAGCCGGTAACCAAATATGGTTTCGCATGCATAATAAACGGCAAACAAGAGTCGTCCACTGTACTCACTACCGCCCGAATGCTGATATCCACAACCCACGGGGCGGATATGGTCTTGGGTTGCCTCTTCCACGGTACTACCTGAGCCATTCGCAGAGGTATCAGTTTAGTAACTCGGTTCAAAACCAGCGACAGTACGGCTGGCATATGTCTCAGTAAAAGTGCGTCGGGACCATGCGCTCCCCGCCGAGCTAATTACCTTCCACGGCCAGAACTTACCCTTCTGATTTCTCGATAGTAAGTTATTTCTCTCATGAAAGCATGTACGTCGAATCACATCATTTCGTCTTATGGCTTGGTTTCTCCACATAATTTTGGCATATTTAGAGACAATCATATGATGTCTATTTTGACCGCAGCAAGGGACCGCCCACGGACAATGCCAACTAGTACGGACTACCCGAGTGCATTTCGAGTCGTATCAGGCAATCTTATCGGCAAATTGAGGTTGGTAGCTCTCTTCTAGCAACTGATGCTTTGCGAGAGAAACATTGCATTATACTAATACTATCGTTGTGTGTTTTGGTATCATCACGAGTAAGTTACTTTCCAATTCTGCCTACGACATCTACCCGCCTCTTTCTGTAACGCCATCGACGTCTTCATCGTGGGCGAATGACTGGCTTGGTGCGGCTTTTCCATGCAGTCGCAAAGCCATTGAACTTCAAGTCGTATCATCACGGCTGCGCCTGATGGAAGCCTTACCGTTGCATATCAACTCAAGCAGCGCTTACAGTCATGTCGAAAGTCATCAAGATGTCATTCCGTACGGAAGCAGTGATGTATACGGTCCGTACGTCATGGAACTTGGATGCTCCCCCCCAATAAACTTCGTATGAGACTCAAAGCACAAAGACTTCCCTCTTCGCTACAAACAATATAACAATCCATGGTGACACAGGCCATATCAACCACCCTAAGCATTCGAGTTCTACCGGACTGGGCCGAATGCTGTTCATCTCGGGCCGGAGAGCGGGGGTGGATTGCCGTAATAAGCTTTTCATCCCTATGGTTGCTAATCCGAAAACGTCCACATCCAGATGTGAGACACGGTTTTCGTATGGATGGAACCGACTATTAATGAAGCTTCATGCTGACTACTAAGACATGTTTTCGGGATGGCAATGATCCTCCCCTATACATCAGTGTGATGCCATCAGACATTCTCAAAGTCCGGACATGATGATAGTCTCGTAGCTGTGTATTGCGTCATGTTAGATACTTCATCAGTGAAGACACAAATTACCGAAGGGGTTATCGCTAGATCACCCCAACCACGAAGCGGAAGACAAAAGTCACTCATGCCTAAGCTTCAGCCAAGGAAAGTGTGACAAGACTTTCCAAGTTTCTGTATGTTACGAGGTTAAGACTACCTAAGATTTTGTCCAAGGAAAAAAGAGTAAATCAAGCTGCGGGTTCCCTTGACCCAACAAGAGCGTCTTCACAGAGCCGGCGGCCAGCGAGTAACGCCTACAGTCTCAACATCGCAGTCCGCCACCTCGCTAGTGTCCTTACGGTCGTTCCGTAACACGTCAGAATATCCTCATGACTTCTTCTAGATTAGTCCGATTTCCTGTTCACAGTAGCGATCAGTAGTCTGGCTAGTATGATACAGCATGTACAGCGCAGATGGGCTAATACATACAACGTTGTACATGATGAATTTCACGAGCTATGGTAGCATGTTACGGCTAAGGCTCGTTGATTTCAGATTCTTGACCCACGTGAAACTGAAAGCATCTTGATGATGATGCTGTAAGAAAAGAGCTTTACTTTCCGAGCAAATTACTCTACAAGTATCCCCTCCAAACCGTACTTCAGTCATCTTGCCCGAAGACTAGCATGTCGACGTTTCCAGCAATGTCTTAGGGTGGGAGAGTTGATTTCTAACCGTTTATAGTGTCATGCTTGATGCTGCCTTTCCTGTATAGAGACGAGCATGGCCCTAGGGTTAATTACTTTCCCCTCTAACTCCGCGTGAAGATCTTCGAACATCGCCTTGGCCACTTCGAGTATCTCGTTTCCGTCATTGATCAAGTAGAGGCTTGCACGAATGCAGACATGACCAAAGCATCAACAACGTAAGTCTGAATTGACAGCAGGAGTTAACTTGAGTTGAACTTGCATGACAAACAAGTCTCGTATCCGGATATGGCTTCTATACGCGAAGGCATCTAAAGCATCTGTCCAGCTCGTCCTCCAACCAGCCTTGCGCTGCATATAATAACCTCCCTTACTTCTGATCATCATTTTGATTTCCTTCACTCCTCGCAACATAACACTATCATCAACCGTATATTGCCGGCATATTTCGTTTCTCAACATATCAACGTTTCGCTATAAAATCTGTCAAAATGCAAGCCAGGATTCTTCCCGCCATCCTCACAGCCCTCTCTCTCACCTCGGTTGATGCTGCGATCCTTCCTAGAGCTACCATTACTCCAGGCGTCATCGTTCTCCCCGAGGTCGTCTTCAACCCCTCTGAGCTGTTCGATCCCGCTTATACAGCTCTCAACATCTTCCGTAACGATCTTTTAAAGACAACAACACTCGTGTCCGACCTTACTCGCACCGCCGGCACGACCGTTAAGGATGTAAGACACCAATTTTCAGCCTGGAAACACCTCACCTAGTTCACAACGTACTAAACAACGGTCGACAGAGAACCGACCAGGTCAATGCTGTCATCCGCCAAGTGACCAGCAACACCAACAACATCCGCACTAGAGTCGGGTACATCATCGGTAACCTTCAGGGCGTAGTCCCCTCCGGTATCCCTGCTCCCACTGGCACAGCCGCCCCGCCCGCCGCTCCCACCGCCGAGGTGTTCCAAGTCGCCCAAGACGTAAGTCTTTACTAATTTAGAACTCCACGTGGCCAAGTCATTGACGTGTAAACGGTATAGATCGTCCGTCAGGCTCAGGCCCTGGCAAGAACCGCCACCTCCCAACTCCAGTCGCTCCAGACCCAAACAGATGCCGTGGTCGATGCTACTGGCAAGGCGGCTTACACACTTGCCTTCACCCAGGCAAAGCTTGCTCTTGACATTACCCTCACCACCGTTGCAGCCACGGCCAAGACTATCATTGACGCTGTAGCCAACAGTGTCGACAACGTCAATGGCATTGCTGAGCGCGTCCGCAACGTGAAATTTAAGCTGGACCCTGTGCTTGTCATTGGAGTCACACCTGATGTGACCTTTTAAGATTCCGATATAATTGGTGGCTTCCTGGCTTCGGTAACATCGGTCCCGGATGACCTCAGGTACTGCTAGATTTGAGCTTATGGTAGTTAGGCTGCAATCAGGCAAACATGTTCACAATATTTTGCAATGATATGGTGGTACTAATTAATGGTATTGGCATGTGTATGTTGATTGATGACTGGCCAGGCAGTATATGAAGGGCGGTTAGGGTCTATTGGTTCTCACAAGAATCGTATCATTTTAATATTAGTCTCATCTTAACCAGACTTCTGAGTGCGAGAACAGTTGAATTATAAATTCCGCGTTCATATTGTGTGCCAAGTGTTAAGCAAAGCATCATATGATTTCAATAACCTTTGTTGCTGAGACGGTTGTTAAATAGTCTGCAAGTTAGAGTCTACATCTTATATCCATTCCATTAAAGATTCCACAGCTGTTCAAAAAACATCTCATTTCCGGATTGGAAGACAGCAGGTAAGTGCCACCACCCCCATCTACATGCATTTGTTGCCACAACAGTCCAATATAGTTAACTTCAGCTAACCATACTCCCACATACGACCATACCCATTGGAAAACTCGGGATCCCGTCCGCTCTCCCATAGATAAGCCAATGAGGGCCGGATTAGTAGTTGGGTCGGTGACGACCAGCGAATACCCGGTGTTGTATGTTTTTTGTTTATTACTGACTATACCACACAAATCAGGTCGGTAACAACCAGTAACCGTCCTGACAATCATTATCTCCAATAACTACTGCTTCATACGTCTTTGAATTGTTTCTTATATATATAGTACTTTAATATTAGTATAAAAATATCTGATCCTGTCCTTCCGCTGTATCAGAAAAACTTCGTTTGCAGAGTCCGAATTTCGCCGCCCAGCTTGCGGGTTGTTGGCATGCCGCACACTGACAAGTTACAACATGGGTACAGCTGCTGCTTGCTGAACATGCATGTCTGCGGCAAAGGGCTTATTACACTGTGATTGCTGCTTACGCGACTTCCTAAAACAATTAAAACTAGTGATAATCCTATCACAAGGCTACATTGCCCCCTGCCTATTACCCATATAACAAATATATGATAATAGTCACACAGTGAGAATTATCCAAGCAATTCATCCCGCTTGCCGAATGAAAGCCCATGGGTTATCAGGTCTTCTTCTGACAGAAACCACAACCTTACAGTCTGTCCCCTTCCCTTCAACATCAACCAAGACCCTGCCCTCTTTATATCTCGCCCGGGCGCCATCTCGTCCAGCATACACGACTTCTCCATCGAGCTCGACAACCTTTCCCCGAGCTCCCACAGGAACACCGACAACCCCCCTCGAGCCCTCTGCCGCTCTCACCTGGATCCTGACATCTCCGTCCCCGCCTTGCTCCCACTCAACCCGAATTCCTCCGCCTCTCGGCGTTGGCACAACCCCCCGCGCCCACCTTAGCCCCGCCGTTTCCGGCGCGACGCTCCACGTCCGGAACCCGGGCTCCGTCGGCTTCACACCCAGCACCCACCCGCTCATCAGCGGCACCAGCCCTGTGGCCCACCCATGGGCCATGCTCGTGTAACCATCCTCGTACGGCTTCCCTTCAGGCCCTATTCCCTCCCAGAACGTCACGCCCGGGTCCTGGCGCGACATCCAACCGTACAACCTCTTCATCTCCTCGATGGCGCTATCCCCCGCCCCAACCATGAACCGCGCCGCGAGTTCAAAGTAGGACACAAACGCGTACACTTTCTGGCTGAACCCCTCATTCACAGCGTCCGAGTCGTAGAACGCGTTCCCGTACGGCCTGGCCGCGACGCGCGAGTAGTAGTCCAGCATCCCCCTCGCCTTCTCCTTATCCACCACGTCCGCGAGAATCGCAATGCTGTTCCCGTCCTGCGCGTGTGCGTCCATAAACTGCCCCTCGTTCGTTCCGTCCCAGAACGCGCCGGCCTCCTTGTCAAAGTTTCTTTCCCCCAGCGCCTTCGCAACCTCGTCCGCCCGGCGCCTCCACCGCTCCGCGTCTCCATCGTTCTCGGCCTCGACCGCCATCTCCGCCGCTCTGCGCAGTGCGAGTACGTACAGAGCGTTATAATATGTTACCGGTCCCTGTCGCGGCACGAATGCATAGTCACCGTACCCGGCCGTCCCGTTCAGCCCTTTAGTCACGAGTCCCGTCGCCGGGTCTGTGACAGAGGGATACCAGCGGTCCAACACGGCGACAAGGTTGATGTAGTATGTCGAGAGGTATTCCAAGTCGCCCGTATACCAAACGTAGTCGTGACTGCAGACAACCCACCAGAGGGGGTAGTCGAATAGGGGGAGCGTGTAATTCATACTTACAGATGTCAGCATTTCAAAGCCCTTGCGGAAGAGCTTATGGGAAAGAAAGAAAGAAAGAAAGAAAGAAAGGAACTCACATACTCGCCGGCGGAATCCATCCGTCACCCCTCTGGTGCACCGCCAGATCTGCCAACACATTCCCACTCGCCTCGCTCACCGTCCCCTTTCCATGCGAAACATAGCCCGTCAGCGCCGCCACCGCCAGATCTCCCACGTACGGATCCCGATCCCTCTTTGGCGCGTCATGGATCACAAGTTTGCCCTCGAGCGTCTCGCTCCCCGCGCCCCGCGGCTCCGCATCCTCGGCGGCGCGGAATGTATCGACACAGAGGTCATTAGTATAGACCCCGTCGAACCACCACCGCGTCAGGTCCTCGTCGCTGCACTCGAACCACCCGTTGAAGTGTCGGGAGTGCCGTGAAACGCTGAGAGGGCGAGGGAGAGGTTGAAGATCTCGACGCGGCCATGGGGGGTGGTGTACGGCTTGTCAGAAGGGAGGGCATCGAGGTAGATGCGCAGGTAGCGAAAACCATGCAGACCGTCTGCGCAGACTTGTCCCTTACCGTCGGCGGCGCCGCGGTGCTGGCAGCCGTGATTTGCAGTCCAGACGTAAGGGTCTTTCCGGACCGCGATCTGGTCGCTGCCCGGGGTGATTGTGTCGCCGTTGTAGGAGCGCGAGAAGTCGCTGACATTACTCAAAAACCGTAACGTCTCTGAGAAGGCGAGTCGTATACCAGGCCTTTCGTTGTTCATATCTCTGTCAATATCTGCGTCCTTATCCTCGCTGGGCAAAGCAGAAGTCGATGATCCAGCGAAGGAAATCGACAAGATCCCAACGGTGTTCTGACCGAAGTCGACCGTAACAGATGGAATTTCGTCCCCTTTTCTCGGACGATACAATATCGTCGGACCACCTTCTCCCGTGACGAGACCAGAAGGGTTTGCCACAGTGCCGCGAGTGAGATCCGACACGACCCTAACGGGCAGGATCGTGCTGGACTCGCTGGCCCGGACATAGCGGTGCCAGTTGACCTCATACTCGGACGAACGGGCTTCACGAAAGGAGCCACTCCAATTGAGAGGAATGGGGTTCCATTGGCCCGTCATAAGAGCAAAGATGCTCGTCCACAGGCCACCCATTGCCAGCCCTGTTGACGATAGGGAATGAGAAGCGTCAGCTGCGAGTGTTCTTTGCCGCCTGCTAAGAGCGGGTTATATTGGTCAGCCCGCGTTAGAGTGGCTGATATGAGGTTTTGTTGAGCCGAACGAGCGGCTTGCGTGAATGGATGGTGGCGAGGGAGCGGAAACTGAAGTCGGCGGCGGGCGGGAAAGCGGGGTCCCGGCGTTTTCCCAGATCGTCCGATCGGCGAACGGCAGTTGGCCGAAAAGCCAAACCCACAACACCGGATACCTGCAGATCGCATCCGGTGCTTACGTATGGTCCGTTGGCGTGGACCAGTCTGGGACAGTAGGCTTGTCTTCCTGACATGTTAAGCCGCGCATTCCACCTAGCATTGAGTACAATGTAGCATTGCTTATGATGCCTCTTTACACCTCGACTTATCACATCACAGCTGCAGTAACAGCATGAATAGCTGATCCAGTGTCAAAAATAGACAACCCAGTGGTATTAGACAGCGCTGCATCTCATACTCCAGCGGCTCGGAAGCCACTATGCAAAGTGTTCATGCCTACCGCGACGCACAAACAAGCGTCGTAATACTAAACAAAGAAAGAAAAATAGCGCCCAGCAGGTGGGTAGTCGCCGAGCCTCACCCGCGAGGCCTTGGTATGTCCACGCATCTCAAGGACAAAAAAACAAAAACAAAAAAAAGGCAAAATCCGCGCAAAGTATCCATGGCGCTAAGGTTCATATCAGCGGCCACGTATCAGTCGTCCATCAATCCCGTTTTCCTCTCAACCCATGTACCAGGACGCCGACAAAAAGTCAAGAAGGTACTGTACACAGCCGCTCTATGTAAAACATAATGCTCGTAAAGGAGGCCTTATACAGTGCCTCGAAGTCTTTGCTTGCGTGCTAACCAGTCACCAAGCATGTTGTCAAGTTGCTATGGCATGTCAGAGCGTGAACATTTTCTGTACCTGAGATCTGTACTTACCGTTGTAATTTCCGCCAACTTGGCGTTTTGTTCACGGAACAGGGAACCTGCGACGGGGTGTTCCGGTCCAGCAGGCGGCACATCGCTCTTGTCGTAAACCACAACCAGCATGTCCCGGATGTCCGAGCTCGAATCGAAAAAGGCGCGAAGCTTTGTGTCGTTCCAGCTACTGCTGGAGGTGCTTCCACCTGTCGAGGTCGAACTAGCCGTCATTGAATCTTGCGCGCGATGCCTACCCGCTTCCTCGGCCTCGATGAGCTCCGGTGACGGCGATGTGGAGTGGCCTTCCTGGCTTGAAGTATCCACCATGAGTGCAGGTGGGTTGTTCGGTGTGATGGGGGAAACTTGCACAGGTGACTCAGAAAGACGGTCCTTTTCTCGTTCTGCAGCAGTGGGCTGAGAAGGTTGGGGCTGCGCGAGAATGACAGTCTGATCGCTTTGAGCGCTCGCACCGCTCCGCGTGCTCATGTAGCTGTCAGGGAAAGCTCCAGGCAAGGGTCGGTCTGTTTTCTCTTCTTTTGTAACCTGCTCGGCTAGCTGCTGCACCGGTGGCTCGGTGGAGGCGGGCTCCGCCTCCTCGCCAGAGGAAGAGTCAAAGTCATCCAGTTCCACTCGAGACTTGGCCTTGATGACCTTCTGAGGCTTATCGCTACCACCAGTCCGCGAGGGAATAATCTTGGACAGCGACGAATTTCCTTGCGGTGTTGAACGGGTCGTCTCGGGGGACTTGATGCGTTGCTGTTGAGCTGCGACGTCTGTGTCTGACGAGTCGTCCTCAACGATACGCATAGAGGCAGGGGGGACATGCGAGACATTGTTGGGCCGTCCTTCTGACGAAATGAACTCGGAGAGTTCCCGGGTGGCAGATTTCTGCGGCGTGCTGGCGGCTCCTGACTTCCTTGAAGGCGAAGGTTCCACCCGCGGTTGTTGCTTCTGGAGCTTGCTGGTGGTGTTCCGCTGCGGACCATCTCCTCTCGGTGACAGCGGCTCCTTGAGTTCCTCCTCTTCGCGGTCTTGGGATTCCGTAACAATATCCATCGATCGCTTGCCAAAAGACTCGTCGTCGTCATCGGTAGATTTCTTCTTGTCCTTACGCGAGAAGAAACTCCGGATCGTGCTGGTCTTCTTATCCTTCTCCTTCTTGTCCTTCTTCTTCTTGTCTTCCTTCTTGTCCGGTTGCAGTTCCTTATCAATCTTGTCCAGGCTCGGCCTCTGCTTGACCTGAACACTCTCCGTAGTCGAAGGTCGCGAGCCGCTATCGTCACGAAGCAGATTAGGCGTAAGCGTGATCTTCTTGGTCTCGACCGTTTCGTCCTTAAAGAAAGAGTCGGTATTCCTAACGGTACCGTTTCTCGATCGGCTGGGGCCTTCGGGCTTCTCAAAGATTTCGCCGCTGTCACGTTTTGAATCATCTTCAGATGCCTCCTCTGCCTTTGCTGGTTCCACAGTCTTGACCTCTTTCGTTGCTCGAGGTTTCAAAGGCTCCACCTTGGCCGTATCGTCATCCATGCGCTCCTCTGTCGATTGACGGGTTGTTGACTGCTGCTGCTGCTGTTGCTGTTGAGCAACCTGTTGTTGAGAGATGAGCTCGTCCGCATCCTCCTCATCCGAAGAGTAATCGTAGTCTGAGTAGTCGACAAAGGTAGGGGCGGCGAACGCGACTGTCTTCTTTTTCTTCCTCAGAGCAGTCTTGAATGTGCTCTTGGACTTCTCTCCAGCCTGATCTCCGAGCATCGTGGCAGAAAGCTGATCTAAGTCAGAAAGGTTCATCTCTTCCATGGAGGGAGCGACTACGTCAATGTTCCTGTGCTTATTCAAGCGCGCCAACCTCTCGGTTGGGGTCTCAATGTGCTCGGCAGGAAGGTAGCCTGAAAAAGCCACGTTAGAAACGGCCTCCATCGGAGACGAACCAGGGAGCGTACCGATACTGCTATCCTTCACAACACGCACCAGCCACCAATAGCTGTTGCTGTCGTCCAGCAACACCATCGTGTCGCCTTTGGTGGCATTTGCTTGGCCTTCGACGGTGGCGACAAAGGTATGTAGCGCGTAGACGAACTCGAAATCGATATCCTCTGCTTCGTGTAAGCACTCGTAGCCCCAGCCGCAGACAAAATATCTAGAATCATCAGGAAGAGAAACGGCGTCATCATCATCATCATCATCATCATCGTGGATCGAGGGTTCGTAGGGTGCCATAAGCGGAATGCCGTCATCGTCGAGTCCACCAACTGCCTCGTCTCTCTCTGCCTGCTCCATCTCGGCACGTCGCTGCGCAAAATCTCCGGAGCCTGGTACCTCAGCGCTGCGGAGACGAAGCGGGCGAACAATGATCGGCCCATGCTGTGCCACACTCTCGAGACCAAACTTTGCTTCATGGCTCCTGTCGTTCCCACCATTCCAAGTCCAATCATCGTAATATCCGTAGAATCTGTCGCGGTCTGCTTCTTCGTTGTGGGATTCGGCGATATGCTGAGTGTCGATTTGATCGTTGGTGCAGTTCGCGTCGCCGCATTGCTCGTCGCATCGTTCGTCGTCGTTCGTATGTCGACCCTATCCGGTATACTCACCACGAAGATGATGATGGCTTGCTGAATCGGCAGCCGCATTGCTTTGCAGCCAAGAAGGGAACGCATGGGGGTATTCAAGGGATTCGGTGTAAGGAGAAGAGGACCTTGCCTCGCTGAACGTAGGGGAAGCAGGGGAGCCGCGGTCTCTCATGACTGGTAGAGAATCGACTCGCCGCGGCCATTGTTGCGGAGGCATAATCGAAGTGTACCCACCATCTTCAATCGAAGGCGAACTCGAGATCTTGTCCATCATGTCGTCGTCATCCAAGTCATCGTCCGAGTCGTCCATGTTTCCGTCATCCGAGTTCGTTACACCTCCATTCTGCGCGACAGCCAGCGCATCCTGGTGTTGCTGTTTTTTGCTTGCGTCGTCCATCGCTGCAGTGGTTGGTTTCCTGGGGACGTCTCCTGCAAGATCGTCCGAGTCTGAACCGTTGTCGTCGGGACCGAGATCCGTCCAAGACTGCCTCGGGTTGTGCAATTGTTCTTCGGCAGATTCTTGAGCGACCTCTCGAAGAGTCTCGGCCTGGTGTGGGCCAAGGGAGCCGACAGTTCTTGGAGGATGGTCTTTCGCTGACGGGGCGTCGGGATCTTGGAGGTCGATGGTGTCTGGTAATGCGACCAAAAAAAACGGCAATAGGTCAGCGTGACATGCCAAACCAAAGAAGGCGGACAGTTGTGGTGATTTTGGGGGGAAGGTTCTCCTGGCCAAGGGGGAGGGGAGGAAGAATTCTGTAAGATTGATCGACCGTAATTCCAGTCGTTTGAGCAAGACACGTTCAGACCAAAGCTCAGACACGGAAAAGCCAGGGCCAATGGGGAAGGGGGGGAAGGTTATGCTTGGGGTGAGGAATAGCGTGATGCGCCAGGAGGAATGGATGCCGGCGCGGGTGTTTTGGGTCGCCTAAACCTACCAGCGCGGATAATGTGAGGCCTCGTCATGCTGGATCAAGGTCGTGGGCCAGCATAAGCCAGCCAAGGCGTCAAGGGAACAGTGAATTGTGAGACGTATTTCCTCGAGTTGTGAGGGTCGTATTGTGTAGTATTGTTGCTGATGCCGAAACTGTTCGTTCGTGTGCAGTGCAGAGCGTCCGGTCGTCGACAGATCAGCGTGTATTCTTTTTTCGTCGCGCTTGGTCGGTAGCCCCTTTAGTTGCCCGTCAGATGGTAGGATGAGACCCTGGTCGATAAACGGCGTATGGATGGAGTGTCATGGAACGAGGGTGAGGAGAAGCTGGAGCGTTAGGCAAGTGTCAAGGAGATTGGTACTGCGGTACGAGCCAGGCGTGGCCCGGTACGGAGAAAAGGGCAGAGGTTGTTGGCGTTGGACGGGGGGTGAAATTGCGACTCCGCTGTTTCGTCGGCTGAACAGGGACAACGAGTCGGGCTTCCAGCGGCGGCGTCACGACACGGACGGGGGGGGGGCGTTTTCGACTGGACCAGGTTTCGCGGGAGTAGAGATGAGTTGCTTAGTTGGATCAAGAAGTAAAGGCGGCCTCTCAAAGCTTCTAATGTTTGCTGGAAGCGTTGAGAAGAAGTTGATGCACAAGCCAGGGGCGGCGGGTTCGTTCGTGGTCGAGTGTCGGGGGCCAAGAAGTTACGTTGTCGGGATAGGTAGCTTAGGAAAGCGATGCTTACTTGGTGTTGATGAAGGAGAGGGAGGGGAGGGGGGGGTTGGATTGGGTTGGATTGGATGGCTTGCTGGTGGGCTGGGCTGGCGAGGAGCCGGACTATGAATAGAACAGGGAACGGCACAGTTGGTGAAATCGGCGCGCAAATAAGGCAAGGAAGGCAAGACGAGTAGGGTCTGGTTGTAGGGATGAGGAGAAGAAGAAATGGGGAATAAACAATGAAAAATAAGTTACGGATATAAAAAGTAAAAATAAAATAAAAAGGGAGCGACAAGGGCGGATTGGGGACTGACTGTTGTGTGGTGAGTTGATGATGTCGGACCCGTCACAATATTTCTCTATGGACTACCTCACCCAAGGGTGGTCGAAAATTGCCCAAGGATCTGGATCAGGAACGGCAACAACAGAGAAACCGTATCAAGCAGCAGTGGGAAAGATAACAGCGTGGAGGTGTGTGTATGCGTACGTGCGCGAACACATTAGAACGAAGCAGCAGGATGATGGGGGAAGGCGACGAGAAAGAGAGGGAGCGAGAGACCCAGACGGACAGACAGAAAGAAAGAGAGGTAACGCTCGCTAGTTAGTTGGCGGAACCCCTTTGCTGTGCTGCCGACGCAAGAACAAACCCAAGATTCATTCGATCTGGGGCGGCGGAAGATGCTGCAGGTTGGGCTTCTGCTGGTACGGAGTACATGTTCCAAAGTAGGTAGGGTACATACCACCTATCCTGGTAGATATGTATTTGGATTTGGTATGTACGCAGTACGGAGTACCTCAGTCGGTACGTAACCCTGCCTATACATATAAAAAAATACGTATTGTACATCGTACTGCTGCTGCTGCTTCGCTGTCTGAGGTGCAGCTGCTGTGCGATGCAAAGTCAGGCACACGCGCAGCACAATTGGTCTTGCTGATGGCGTCACGGCTGGCTTCCAGGGGAGCGGTATGACTGCCCAGTCCCTCCCAACTGAGAAGTCGTTCATTATCGGCCCAACAGTATCCGTACACATCGGCTACATAGTTTCATCGACTGGCGGGAAACCAAAACACCAAGCCACCTCTGGAACAATGGTACGGAGTACGGATATACCGAGTCTTAATAAACAGGGCAATGAACAAGCAGTCCGTGGACCTGGTTTCCCAAGGCTCCAAATGTGTATGTAGTGGATACCCTGTAACGTCTTCGGGCAAGGGTTTGGCGGACTTGAAACAACTGGCAATCGACAAGGGGGACTCCAGTCATTTTCCAAGATTCCGCACTCCCTCCCAGGCACGGTACAAGTATTATCCCTCCCCTTTTCTTCTCTTCTTTTTCCCCCTTCCTTACACCACTGCTGTGTTGTGCTACTTATTGCTGAACTTGCGTTGGTGGCCCGTTCGCCAATATCATATGAGAGCCCCTTCTCTCGTTACCGGATACTAGGGGCCTTGGCCATATTTCTTGTAGGGAAAGACTACTACTTCCTATTGTTAAAAGAGCTCCAGCCGCCCTGGTCCGCAATTAAGCTCTCGGGGGCCCGGCTCTTGCCCACTGGGAAAAAACGACCCGTTCGCATTGGCTGCCCAGAACAGTCTAACCCCATCCATCCTGCTTACGTAAAATATCTACGAATCAAATACCTACCTAGGTAGGTACGTTACCATGTCCGGCATCGTCGACCTATCGACGTCCATCGCAACTTCACTTCCATTTCGGCATATCTACATCGAGGTGGCCCCCCACCGAACAAAGCCTCGCCCGCATTCAGTTATTTAAGCACACAGATGCATGAACTGGTCCTTTTCACTCTGCGCAATCCCAGTAGTCTGTTTACAGTCACGGGTGTCGCCTCGCGAACCGAGCGGCGTTCGCCGCGTCCATCGCCAACTTTGTCAACCCACTCTGTCCGTCTTCGGCCACCGATAATGGGAGCATATCAGGCATCCCAACGCCACCCATTAGGCCGCCAGTCTTTTTGCATCCAGAGTCTTGCCATCTCCCAACCTTCGCTTCATGCGGTCAGCCGCCCACCCACCCTGTGGCCGACCGCTCCCTCCGTCCCTCCCCAACGCGTCAGAGCGGTTGGCGCCATCGACCTTCGCCCTGTGGCATGGACCGGCGCTTTTTCCCGTGGCTTGTTCAGCTCCTTGTTTAGCTTCGTTCGCAGCCGACACCGCTCCTACAGAACCACTTGGGAAATTACTTCTAGTTAATCATCGTGGCATGCCAGCTGCTTTCTCGAGGTCAGCCATTCCTCAGGTGGCATGCCTTCCGAACAATGCACCGCCTGCAAACGAACCCGCCAAGCCAAGTTCCCCGTAGTTGTTTTCGCGGCCATCGTCACGCCGTCCCTGATTCAATGAGCTGATTCTCATCGATTTCGGCATACGCTGACAGTGAGGGACACACGTCCTTGTCGGCAACCCGTGCGGCGGTGCATCCCCGGAAGCTTGCTGAGCACAGCCAGAGCCCAATGGCGGCTCACGGCCACGCCCGCACCCGCACGCCAAAGTCAATTGCATTGCATTGCACACAAAGATAGGGGCTAGGGCAAATGCAGAATGGAGGCGAGGATGCAGGCCTCGTTTGAAGACCGGTCCCTCGGGACCGAAACTTCAGAGCTGCTGGCGCGACGCAGGTTGCTTGCTTCTGTCTCACCTGTGCCCATGCTCACCCTCACCGGACGGCCCAGCTGCTGTTCCAGCCTCCGGCCAGTATTGCGACCTGCCGGCAAGTCTGATACTCGGTCGAATGTTGATTTAGCGATGAGCACTTCCAGCCTATCGGTGTACGCTGCCGCCCCCTACGATGATTCATGGAGTATGCACACCACGGGACACCGCTCAGACTCCTGCATCATCTGCCGCTCTGGATACGCGCAACAGAACATCCCATGTTGAGGACAGATTTGTCGGATCCAGTTGTCCCTAGAAGCGGGAATGCCTAACTAATTGCGAGTATCCATCAACCTTTGCATGCTGGTGTCTCACCGAGCGGTGTTTTATCCCCGACTGATATGCTATCCTCAGGGGCAGATATGGCAGGCTGTCTCTCCCTGCGCCATGTCTCGGCACCGAGAAACATGGCTGGCCACGCTGGCCGTCAGCAGGGGGGCACGCCGAAGAGCCAAGGTGGTGAGGGTGAATGCTTGAAATTGAAACCCGCCGCGATACATGTGCTTGCCTGAGTATCATGAGTGCCAAGCCGCAACTAACGATGGATTCTTCATCCGAAATCTTGAATGCGCTCTACCTCCGAACCTGTCATGCCGCCCACCCGTCCCGAGGGTTGCATCATCGCTGTGAGATGTCATCGCAGATCGTCTGAGCATAATTGAAACCTTCTTCTTATCAGGATTTGGCTGGATTTGACGCCGTCGCCACGCGCCCTGCGTCTCTCCTTGGAGATGTTGCGCCGGAAATCTGTCCCTGCATCCGGCCTGCCGCGCCCGCGCCACGGGAGATAAAAGCACAACAACCCGGGTATCGAAAAAGCGCGCCGTCGCTGGGTGCGGGAGGCAAGGGGTACCCGAATACCAGTCCAACTGGCCGAGGTCAGAGAATATAACAGCCGAAGCTCGAGTAATTGCCTCACTGAGTGACGCAGCGGTCCAGGGTCTCCATATATTCCCAGGATTCCGATACGAGGCGGCAGTAAAGTGTTTTGCCGAAAACCACGGCTGGCAGAGGGAGCAGAGTAGATCCAGAATCATCCCGCCGATGCTGCTCTTGCCATGACCAGTGTAGAGTGCAGGCTGCCTCAGCCTTCGCCGCTTACTTACAATGGTCTCTCATGAACCAACTACTTGCCGCAAATAGAAGGGTCAAGTTACAGTCGCCGGTTTATCAAGATGGACATATTTGCCCAGGCATAATCCATGAAGTTTAAACCCCGAGGTATACATGGTGCCGAAAATTTGTCTTGCTAGATGGTGGCTTTTTAGCACCGTCTGAACACTATGTGATGCTGGGAGATCTTAACGATATGGTTCCTTGACTCTTGCTACCTTTTTGGGGAAATATAGAGAGAGCTGATACGTGTAATTTACCACAATTCTCGAAATATGTATTAAATTACACCCAGAGGTTTTTTGTCTGATGCCCTTGCCTTTTATTTACTTCGTAACCGTGCTAAATTAGTTATATATACTGCACCGGAGTGAAATAGTTGACCATGCAGAACAGCAAATGTACACAGCCCAAGCAAATAATCATGTCATGATGTTTATTAGTCTCTGAAGGCAGACTACGCTTAACAGCCCTAACGACAATATAACTCTACAAGAAAATTGTCGTAGGGCCTCAAGCCCCCCCTCTCATCCGACTTCGCCTCGTCGGCCCCATACCCTTTATGCTTCTGTTGTGTATCCGGTGCTTAGCGGTGCCGAGCCCTCGTCTGTTTCACCACAGCATTGGCAGAAGACATGCTTGGCCGTCAACTCTTGCCCCTTGGTTGACGGACGACCCTGGACACGACTACGGAGGACCGGAACAAAGTACCTATACCTCAGAAGATTGCCCTCTGTTGTGACTTTGTGCGGCCTCGAGCAGGGAAAATCTTGAAGAGTTGGGGGCGCGTATCATAGAATGCCCCCACCACCAACAAAACTGTGAAAAGGAGTGGGAGGGAGGTCTTGCTTGCCGTAAACGACAGGTCCAGTGTGGCCCGTAAGCTGGATGAAAAGAATGATCATCCGAGGGCGCATAGAGGTTGCGCAATGATGCGCAATTTAAACTTCTCGAAAGGAAAGAGACGGGTTGAGTCGACGATGTGTCTCCAGTTATACGTACGAAGAGCTTCCTGGACCACGGAGCCTTGAGCGAAGTGCAAACTGGCGTGTAGTTAATGAGCCCCTAGGCAACTCCTGTCCCCTCGACCCGATTTGTATTCGGTATCTTTCACAAGAGATATATCAGACAGCGGCCAGTGAGTCCTTTTCAATGAGGAATGGGTGTACATACAGGTCCACTGTTCAGTATGGCGCCAATCTCTTTGAGAAAAAGGTGCCCTGCAAAAACCTCGACCCTCGCATTCTTGCATTTTCACGGAACCTGCCCGACAATCTTCATGTGCAAGTTATTTAATGGGATTCAAATCTACGTCTATGTATTCTTGATCGTCCTCTGCAACGCTTTGCCAAGCTGTTCCACAAAATCAAAGCAGTCCGCGAATGTATTGTACAACGGCGCCGGCGCGACCCGAACGACGTTCGGCCTCCTTTCGTCGATGACCACGCCGACCTCGTCGAAGAACTCCATCACGCCATCGAGCAGCCCTTCAGCGAGCATCAGGCTCAGCTGCGCTCCCCGCTCCTCCGGCCGCCTCGGGGTGATGACGCGGAAGAGCGTCCTTTCCTGCTCCGGCATGGCGCCCAGCAGCTCCTCCAGGTACCCCGTCAGCCGCAGCGACTTCTCCCGCAGTGCGCCGACGCCGCCGGCCAGCTCGAACACCTCGAGCGAGGCGCACAGTGACGTGATGTCCAGCACGCTCGGGTTGCTCAGCTGAAAGCCGGCGGCCCCCGGCACCGGGTGGAACTTTGTCTCCATGGCGAAGCGGGACGACTTGTCGTTGCCCCACCACCCGGCGAGCCGGTTCACATACCCACTTTCGGAGTCCGGGTCTTGGACAGACGTCGTAACGGCGGTGTGTCTCGAGTGGACGAACGAGCCGCCGATGCAGCCCGGCCCACCGTTGAGGTACTTGTACGTGCACCACGCAGCGGCGTCGACGTCCCACTCGTGCAGTTTCAGGGGCACGTTCCCGACGGCGTGGGCGAGGTCCCAGATGACGAGGATGGAGTGTTTGTGGGCGAAAGCGGTGATGGTAGGGATATCGAGTAGCTGACCCGTGTAGTACTGGATCCCCGGGAGGAGGAGGACAGCGGTGTCCGAGGCGTGATGCTCGATGGTCGAGAGGATGTGCTGAGTGGTGAGAATTGGTTCCGTAGAGGAAGGGGGCTCGATGCAGACCATCGACTCTGAAGGTGAGAGGCCGTGGTGCCTGATTTGGGTCTCCACGACGAACTGTACGGGCGTCAACCTTGTACTCGTTCATTCGTCTCACAGCTCCTCCCGCCACCGGCAGGAGTGGGGAGACTCACATGGTCACTCGGAAAGGCCTTGCTCTCCAAGATGATCTTATGCCTGCCTTCCTTCTGCGGCTTGTAGAAGGCGGCCATGAGAAAATGGAGGTTCGCCGTCAGAGTCTGCATGACGGCGACCTCTGACTCGTCGGCGCCGACAATGGGGGCAATCAACTTGGCCGCCTTGGCGTCTACGTTGAGCCATGTCGGCAACGGGGAGTCCTCAAGAGGCTTGTGGTGGCCCTGTACGCCCTGCGTGGCCCAGGTGGACAGGTACTGCTGTATCCTCACGGCGGTGCGCTTGGGTTGCAAGCCGAGGGAGTTTCCGCATAAGTAGGTGCATTTTTGCTGGCCAGCGCTTGAGGCGGTAGAGACGTCATCTTCTGCTCCGCGGGGATGGTGTCAGCCCTTGATACCAGAGGAGGTATGAGAGGGGGAAGGTAGACATTGTGAGAATGATAATGGGCGTCGTCTGGTGGGGAAGGGGAGGAGGGAACCTCCAATTGCTGACCTTTCTTGGCGAGAGTTTTGCTGGTGATCTCTTGCTTGGTCGGGATAACGAATTCGTCCCGTGTGTGCCTTAGCGCGTCTTTCTGGTCCAGGGCCTCGGCATATGCTCTGCTCGAAGGATCCATGTCTGGGGCGGGATAATGCTGTGGATGTGTTCTTTGCTAAGGCGAGAAGAGGCAGCGCAGCTTCTGACCTCGGCTCGAGGTTGGCGGAGAGAAAAGGAGGGGGAGACCGGCAATGGTGTGGAAATCAAGATGATTGTTCAGTTTGTGACCCCTCTAGCAGGTAATTCCGAAATGACGAGGGCGTAACGAATGGTCCTTTTTTTTGGGTTGTTTCAGGATCCTTGAACGGCATGCGTCTCTGACGTTGGGTTCGTTGTTCAACAGCTGCAGCTCGAGGAGTGGAAGTCATGATGCACCCGCCACTCGCGCAGACAATTCTTTCCTGCGCGTGTGGTGCCCCGCATAGCCCAATGAGGGGTTCCCGACGAAGCCCCGGGCTGGCGGGGCGCGTCGAAGCAGCTGGCAACATGTTGAAGCAACGGCTGTCACTGCCAGTCAGCAAGCAAGTCTGCCTACCTCTCTACCGGCGAAACGTGTGTGGTTATGGCATAGTACACCACAAGACGAGGGGTGCGACGGGCGGTGCTGACCACCGAGGGCCAAAGAGGCATCAGCTGTTTCCACCATGGAATTGGGGGAAGGGAGAGAGGGAGGCGGGAGATCCTCTTTTTCTCCAACAAACTCAACCAGGTGGACCTGACATATTTTTGAATATGGAAGATGGAGGACATGTGAGATGACAGATGTCGGTTTCGATACACCTTCTGTTGTTATTACTATTCTTATTATTCTCTTGTTTCCTTCTCAGTATTCATCATGTACTTGGGACAAAGTACACATGTACCGAGTACTTCCCGTATGTATCTCCAGTTCGTCACTCCCCAAACTCGGATCGTGATTATGAGAAAAAAAACTCTTCTCGCACTCTCAATCACCGACCCAAATAACGTGCTCGAGCTGGATTCGCCCCGAATTACGAAATAGGGCAGTTTCCATTACCCCCTCGAAACCCCGATATTACCCCCTCATTACCCCATAAACTGGCCACATGCGGGGTTTTGCTGACTCGTCTCTTGGCTCGCCTTGCCAAAACATGCACGAGGTGCCGCCCACGAGTCCGGGGTAGTGGATGCCGCTCTCAACAACGGACAGGACAGGACAAGACCAGGCCAGGCCAGGCCGGTCAGGTACGCCGCACGCCCTGTATATGGCGGGGGGTGGGATCTGTGGGATCTGTCTCGCCCCCCCACCTTCATATTGAACTACAGTACAGGAATTGGAACTTACACTCTAGAGGTTGGAGGAGTAACCATACTACCTACCAGTGTACGTTGGTTCCTGCTGGGTGAGTTGGCATCTGTTGTATACATAGAGGTACACGCTATCCGGGCGGGGAAAACCCTCCTGGATGGACATGGAAACACATGGACGGGCTTCGAGATAGAGGGGCCGGGTATAACGGGGTTGGACGGGCGGAGGGCGAGCAAGACCGCTCCCCGCCATGTTCGGGCGATCACGGCGATTCGGCGGGACGGCTCCTGGGTGTTCGTGTGAAAAGTCCAATCAACTGGAAAAGGTCGGTTTTTGTGTTTTCCGGTCTTGGCAGAGTTCAAGATGGAGTGCTCACTCATGTCAGGGGAGACGAGCCAGGCGACCGTTGCCGGTCTGCAGCTTGGTAGACAGCGTCCCCGGGGCCCGGATGATCTTCGTGCATGTGTTCTCTAGCTTCATGCGTCTCTCTTCAAAGAGGACTGGGTGAGACTCCGCCCCTCACAGGCTCAGCCAGGGACCGTAGAGAGTTGACGAGCTGGCGCCCGTTCGTGTTGCCAATGGCCATTGATCGACGGGCTGCTCCAATGGGTGGTCCCCGACCAGAATACACGAGGAAGGAGAAGCTCGGCGGGTCTCTGCATTGTGCTATTCGTGGTTCTGACATGGAAATATGTGCAACGAACCATGGCAGGCGGTCAGCAGATCGCAGGGCTGGACAGTGCTGACTTGGCCGGGGAAGAGTTGGCTTGACGTTGGGACAGTCTCGGGTGGAGAACCCAACGTGATCACCACAAACTTCGGTAGGGGACCGTAGGAGGCTCTGCTTGGCTGCCGCTTACACATTACCTCCTGGGTGTTGGTGTCACAAAGTTTTCCTCGGTGGATCCATGAACCCGTGGCCGAGAAGGAAAACACTGTAATCCACGACACACAGTACCGTACCTGGGCCAAACCGAGTTGGTTAACGGAGTTGGTTGTTGGCAGTCGAGAGAGACAAGGCCTCCTCAAGGTTGATGTCAAACTGGCCCGAACGCCGGCAACGGTCCCATTGGGGCCACTCAATTCGGACAAGCCCATTTCCTTTCAGTGAGCGGGCTGTCCTCATTCACGGCGGTGAATTGAGTGAGCAGGTGCTGGATCGCAGTGTCTATCCGGATCCGGACCTGATGAGGCAGAAGTAAGTGTCCGCCGGTGTGCAAATCCAAGAAGGCCTCTCCCGCGTCGTGCAAATCGCTGACCAGGCCACAACCAACCTCAAAACCTAACCGATCCACCTGGCGGACGGAAAGCAAGGGGCGAGAGAAGCACACGTACGCATCCCGATGCCCCTCTCGGCCAGATGTGTTTCGATGTGTCAAGGCTTTCTCAGACTTCAAACCGTGTCTCCCATCGTGACCTTGGGGTGGAATGGTGCAATTGCCATGAACCCTGAAAGGAGGAGATTGGAGAGAGGCATCGTGACCTCTTTTCCCCCTCCCTCTCTCTTCTCGTGGCTCCTTTGGCCCAAGCTTCCGGCGGGTGTGTAAAGGGGACTTGGGGACGGAGGGGGAAGGGGGGGGGGACCTTGTAGAAATGTGAAGGTGAGGAGAACAGGAACAAGTGACGATCCGACTTTTTCGTCCCCTTGTGCTGGTGCAGGGGTTATTTGGGTCACGATCCAGTTCAGAGACACAGTCACCGTTCCCTACCACACATCCCCCTGGCCGCGCAAGAGGGGTACATTTAGACAAGAGGCTGTCGCTTGCATGTCCAGATGCGCTACATGCGCCCGCATGCCTCAAGATGGGGGAAAAAAAATTATTGTTCTAGAACTCACCCCCACCCCGCGCGGTCAATCAGGTACGGTGAGGGCGGGACGAAGGCATCGTGACCCTCTTGGGATTTCAAGGTTCGTCTCCATTCCTGTCCTGTTCAGGCAGCGTGTGGATATTACAGGCAAGGATTCTATTCTAGGGAGACACATAATGTATGAATTTTATGTACCCGCGAAATACTCTAGGTATCTGACTTGAGGGTTCGCAAATAACTTGACTTGGACATCCATTCCAAACACCCTATCCAGCTTCCCAACGAACCTCTTACCCCATAACATCCACCTTTGTTGACTAGCACGCAACACTGGCGCAAGCTCGAGGGTGGTGGCGGCAGCAGCGGCAGCATCTTGTTGGCCGCCTTTCAAGACGGCATTTGGACGAAACAAACGACCACGCCGGACCGCGTGACGGAAGGCGAGGTAGGGATGGTGTCAGACACTGGCAGTGTTTTACAATGGCCGTTTCCATTTGGTAATGGTGATGCGGCATCGTGGGGACCTCCAGGTCGGGGCCCTGGCCTGCCCAGACCCGGAAGCGGACTGGAGCTCGACGGCAAGTAGACTCTGCGAAATATGAATACTGTATCCGTACATGCATGTTTTCCCCCTCTGGAGAAGGCCGGATTGCCGAAATAGCTGAGGCATTCCGGCGGCCCCCGCCCCTATATGAGGCTAGCAGGTAGGCAAAGAATAAAGAACTAGGTTTCCCATCATCTGGAGTTCCCCAATCAGGCCAAGTCGGTCTGTCCCGTGGCCCCTCCCCCTAGGGATCGCAACTATGCGCCGCTGCACGATCAAGTAATCTGGGGGTAATGGAAACTCGACGATTTCCGGCCCGGCTTGCTGGGGAACGGGCTGTGTCTGGCTTGGGGCGGCTGACGGGGTCAGCCGCCGCGCTCCCGGGCCACTCGGGGAGGTGGATGATGGTCGAAGAGGAATAGTAGACGTGACCTAGGCAAGGACCATCCTCAACGTATGCCGTCTCGTGATCTTGCGCATTCTTCTTCTGGCCATGTACCGTTGATACACATGTCGTCCTATTGCTGGGGCATTCCTTGGACAAGGACTATTTTGCGGTCTGTAAGCTGACAGAAGATGGGCGGACCGAGTAGCGGACAGAAACCTGGGGTAATTGTGGGAAGAGAAGGGTCTCGGGTTGTTTTCATTACCCTCTCGTAACGACGGCGTGTGTTGTTGTGCCTGGGGGTGGGCAAACTGGGCAACGTGTGGTAATGGAAACAACGTCAAGGCGAGCATGGCTAACTGCCGGTATCCACGATTCGCATTGGGCTTCGGGCCCTCGTGGAGGGGAGCTTGGTGTCTTGCTTCGAAGCTTGCGCAAGAGGGGTACACCAAAAGGTGTATATTTTGTGTACGGATACTTGCCAAGGGAAAGCCATTGCTGAGGTTCAAACTCGGAAGATAGATCCACAGGCTACTTGGTATAAGAGACACTTATTAGCGTGCAATGGAGCAAGAGCCGTCTTGTTACCAGGGGTTGCAAAGGGGGGCGCTGGCTGGGTCGGCGCTCGACGAGCGGGCGTTTTGAGCTGCAACACAACACGAACAAGCGGTAGAATAAGATAACAGGAGGACACAGAGCACGAGGTATTGGTGACCTCGACCGGATCCGTGATGCGCGCCGTCAAGCATGGGCAAGAGTGGCAGGCCCGCAGGTTTCCAGGTTTAGGTTCTGGAAACGGGTATTGTGGTACCGGCTTGTCCATCACCGACACACTGTCCGATGGTGACATGGTTCGGCTGTGGCAGAGCCCCGTGCGTCGGGTGCGTTGGGCTGCATTCGCGATTGCGTTTTGTTTTTGTTTTTCTGCGTTGTTTATTTGCGTGGTTTATTGGCGTAGAGGAACAAACACTGTATGTCTACCACTGCGTGTAAGAAACTCGACGACGGCTGCCAGAGCTGCGCGTTGTCGGTGCGTCCTGATAGAGAGACCAAGAGGATAGAGCAGCTTGG